GAAATTTAGAACAAAGGGAGTAGTTAACCTCCCTCTTTCACCAACTGCAGAGCCCGCAGCAAAATTAGTGTATACAAAAATGAGAAAAAAACTCAATGGCGATCTGATCAAAAACCTAATAACCAGTTGTCAGCCGGAGGCTCTATTCAACATGGGTCTTACAAGTGGTGGAGTCTAGCATGCGTCTCTTATCTGAAGTAAGTCATGTTTGCTCATATAAGCCATGCTGTTAAACTTTATGGTTGTTGGTAAAGTGTTGTTCGTTAAATGTGAAAGCAATGTCCAGTGTGCCCAGCGAGCCCTTAGGGTAGAATACGAAAAATAATGTAACGAGTGATGACTGAGGTGCTAGTGTAGTAAAGTTGGTAGACGTTAGACAGTGTTATGATAACTAGTAGTGTGCAGAGCACGCCCATTTGTTATTCATAGTGGTGACCATTGATTTGTGATAAACACATACGTAGGCTGTATATGTATGGGTTTAGGAGAAAAATAAGTAAGGGGAAGTCTTCTGATAGAATAGTGGATAATTGTGAAATGAGTCAAAACAGTAGAGAGAAAGAGACAGACTCAAGTCCTACACCCCAGAAGGGGAGATCATGATGAAGCATAGCGTGGTGTGGTAAAGGCACTATGTAAGTCCCGACCAAGAATCGGTAGCGTTAATATTGTAAATAATAGTGTAGAATTATGTAATGAGTAGTAGGGAATGGAGAGTGGAAAAAGGTTCATGTCGAACGATTAATACTTGCATATTCTCATGAGCCGAAATAGGAGAAAGAGAGAGAGACAGACCCACAGTCTTACACCCCAGAAGGGGAGATTATGATGAAATGATAGCCTGACGACATATAGAGATGATGTAGTCCCGGCTGAACGTCGGCCTTGTTAATATTGTAAATAGGATACAAATTAAAGGTGAATCGACCAGTGTGCCTAGGGTAGGACAGAGATGGTATCGAGTAATAGTAATGATACAGTGACAGTCTCGAGCCATCTGCTCCAGGCGAGAGACTAGAACGGAGTCAGAACTATCATGCCCCGAGACCAAGTGTAAACCGACAGACGTCGGCATTCTTTTATTGTAAATAGCGTAAATAGGATAGGTTGTACCGAGAGTTATAATTCACCCTCACCAACTCAACCTTCCCCCGACCGATCCCGAGGATCCTAGCCCAAAAGAAAGGTAGAACAGCCCCCCCAGGCAGGCAACGGCAGCCGAATTCAACGACAGTTAAGGGTGAGGGACTAGAAGTGGACAGGGATAGTAGACTCGCCTGCCATGCAGGCAGCACTTAGTAGCATTTTTATCAACTCCCCCCTACGCCAATAATAAGTGGTGGCAGTGGCGGCTACCTCCACGCCCCCTGTCACCACGGCAGAACACTTACTAGCAGCACTGTCCACCTCTTCCTCATTCTCACTTTCTTCCCGTTCTTCTGGCTGCACCCCCCTTGAACTTACGATTTCATCACTGCTTAACATTTCGAAGCCCGGCTCACACAAGTCATAATCAAACCACTCTCTTATATTTTCCTCGTTGACTTCTTCACCACTATGAACTTGGTTAGCCAATTTTGTCAATTCTATGGCTATCTCATTTTCACTGAATCCAGTGAATCCATGGATTTCATCATCTTCATTAGTGATGAAAGGCATCAGTTTCTTCCATGAATTTTTCAATACAGATGGCTTTACTGTACCCCCCCCTCCTGATGAAATTTCGTATATGGCATGGTATATGAAGATCGATACAAAGAGACTAACTGTGGTGGCGTATCTGTCCTTGAAACTTTCCACAAATCCTTGCATTTTTTCACCCCTACCCTAGAACATTGTGTTAGCATAACGGGACCAAAAAATGCAGAGCTCGTTTCACACTAGTGCGAAAATAGTGTTACAACTCACCATGTGAAACAGAAGTGAATGAGTACCAAACAACATATAAGCCTCAAATAGCCCCAGTCGACCCGGTTAAGCCGCAAACCAGTTTATCCACCCCCGGATAATCGAGAGTTGAGTGTATCAGCAAGTGTGAAGAATTAAAACAATCAATACTTCCTAATTTTAAAATGAGACTCTGTCAATCTATAATGCTTCAGAAGACCTTTGACAGTCACATTTTGATTCTATGCAATCTCAATCAAAAAACAATACTGCATGCAGAGTGACAGACATCAGATGGTATAAACGACTGCTTTCAATGAGACAGATCTGTAAATTCACATCTTCCTCATTTGGCAAGGTTCCCATGTAAGCAAACTGAATGATAAAATGGGTTATGGTCACTTCAGTTATTTTCAAGTAAGTACCCATGAAATGTTGAATAAAATTAAACAACTCAAACTCAATACATTTAGCAGCAGCATCTGCTGCACAACACAATGCAGATGAAATACCTGACATGGTCTACAGAAAGCCTTTGGTTTCTTACTTTGGTTACAGTTCCTTCATTTATTGCCCAATTTATGAATTTTATTCTGTATAACCTATTCTAAAACAATCTTCAGTTTTTAAATTCCAAAGCCAGAATTCATAGATAATCACATAAGCTAAAACTTGGAGTTTATTATTTCAAGAATAAATAATGCAGTGCTGTCTTAACCACCAGTTCATGGCAGCACGACCTACAATGGGACAGAATCATTTGGGTGTAAAAAGACTTAAATATTTAATGGTGTACTGCTGTTCTTAAGTAGAATAAATTTTCTTAATAACAATAAACAACTGGGCATTAATATGTATAAATAAAAAATTTGGAACCTTTGAAACTGAAGTTCCTCAGTCGTCACTAGGGACCGGATTTTTATGCCCTAGTAATCCCTTAAATATGTATGCATTTATGCATGAAAAACTCCTAAAATATGCACATAAAAAGTTCCTACCAAGTATTAAAATTTATTTTACATTATTTTAAGACCAACAAATCAACATTTAAGTTAATTTTATGTACTCATTGAAGGATTCACTTGCAATGAAAGCTATACTTAAATACAAATCATGCAACAAAGCCAGGATTTCTTCATTACAAGTTAAAAAAACCAATGGCACTCATATTTAGCTCTCCAAGCTTTCAACTTCTCTTCTGTCGCAGTTCGCCTCCTATTGTCTATTTTTTCCACCTCTCAGGAACTTAAGGGTGCATGTACAAAAGCCACTATTTGCCTCACTGTTAATGATTATATACTTGGTAGTTCAGTACATTTACCGGTTAAAATTTTGTCAAATTAAAAATGTGTTCATATCCTGGGTTGTTTGAAAGAATGCTGCGTATCTTTTCTCTTACTACTTCACCAACTCTTCCAGTAACCAAATTCAATTTGTAAACAGTGGTTTTGAATACACATAATGATTGATACAAAGTAGTATTGCTATTGCTTGCCTCCAGTGAAGAAATGGCGGATGGAAGATGAGAGAAGTGAGCAGATATATAGGAAAGGATTAGTTTCTGGTTCTGCGTTTTTAGTACATCTTGGGCAATGTGAAGTGATGCTGCACTTTTGGGATCAAATGTATTCATGACATTCTTAACTGTTTCTAAATGTTTAATATAATAACTCATTGCACGTAGCCACATGCAGAAGCGTGTTAAAATCAGTTCTGGTGGAGGTGGAACATTCAGTGCTACTGATTTAAAGGCTTCTCTTCTATGTGGAGCTTTAACAAATACCTTCTTCACAGAAGACACCAACTTGTCAACAAGTAGAAAATTTTCACGAATTGTTTCAGCAACATGGTGCAACTCATGGACAAGGCAAGTCAAATGTGTCATATTTGGAAATATGACTTTAAGAGCAGTACCAGGGCTTTGATCATATATCTTGCTGCACCAGTCACAAAGAGCAATACACCCTCATACTGAATGCCTTTCGGCCATAGTAAATTCAGGGAACTTATAAAAAAAAATTGGAAACTGCGGAGCTATTTGTGGTTTCAGATTGCTGTACTGCAAGAAGATATGGGGTAGATTGTTCATTCTTGTTAAAGGTTCAAACTATAATATTTGCAACAAACCATCCCTCACAGTCTTATGGTTCATTGCTTGATACCCACACAAAATTATCTTGAATCTTATCTCTAATGTTTTCAGTTGTAAGATCGTAACACTGCTTCACAAAATTTTTGCTCATAGTAGATCATCCAGCACTTTGCACTGTGTATACTTCTCTGTAGAGTTTCTCAGAGAAGGACTGATTACCACAACAGATTATCTGGCGCTAAGAAGGCTTTGCACAAGTCAAAGGATAACTGTGAAAAACTATTAACATGAAGACGATGAACATGAAATTTTCAACATAAAAAATATAATGATAAACATTTTAAAAAGAAAATATGCAGCATATATAGAGAGCTTTGAAAATATTAAGCTCATGCACAAAACATGAAAACTATGCATTTACATGCACCATCAAACCATGTCTAAAATTTAAGAAATGAAGTAATTCATACGTATATCCAAATGAGCATACTTTTTGGTTGCAAGAAAGAAATATGCATTTTCATTAAAATCCGGTCCCCAGTCATCACACCCTATTCATTTTTCATTGTGTAAGTCAAACATTAATATTATCAGGCATGTGCAACTCTCAAATTTATTAATTATTATTATTTATTGAATAAAGAGAAAATTTCTCGATTTATTAATCTTTCTTCGTGAAACCTTGAACAAAATATTCTGCAAATTGCTTTTCCTTTGCTTGCTGGTATCTGATATCAAAAGGGATGGGAACTGTATTTGCTAAAATAAAATTAAATCTTCTGTGCAGGCATGTTTCCTAATGCAGTGTCATCTTACATTAGGAATCACTGTCCATTTAGGTAAATATGGTAGTATCCTTTAATGCACTGTGACAAAGTGATTTGTGCAACAGATCATTATAATGAAAGTATTGATCTACTGGAGAAAATTCTCATTCTTATCTCAATTCTTGAAATTTTTTTCCAAATTCGTCTTGAACCGAGAAAGATATTCTTGCACATGCCTAAATATTCTTATAAAACACCATAACAAGTCTGACAATATTTTTAGACTTAACTACACCAATATGTCACTGAGGCAGTGTAACTATTTACAGCCTACCACATTTATATTAGTCTTTCTAATATTTTCAGGATCATAACTTAAGCGATTTCCATCTTAGACTCTGCTTTCCTTCTCTCCTCTACAACTGAAACGCACTTCCTGATCTCAAATCCAATGGCAGCTCCCATTGGTGGAGGAACAGCGTTACCAATCTGCAATATCAAAAATGCATTATTACTGGTCACATTCATAATAAGTTTCAATCTACCAATCAGTTATTAAAGACATTAAAATTGGTGATGAAAAAGTAACTTACCAGTTTGTTTGTCTAGATATGATAAAGTTTCAAGGTACATATCCAACACATAAAAATCAGATGAACAAGACTACACTAAGCAGTTTATAACCAATAACACACTAAAATTACAGCACAACGAACAACTATTTCACACACCCCTCCACCACATGATAAAGAAAAATATTGTGGCATGCCGCCAGAAAGCTGGAATGATTGAGTAGATCGGGGTTGATTTTCTAGGCAACAACCAGCGTTCCCGCCGCAACGCCTAGGAATCGGAACGCATCCATTGCCATACAACAGCTGGCAATATCCAAGCAATATGTTGTTTAAAGCAGCATTTCAATAGAAGCAGGCAAGGTTAACCCTTCAACATGGTATTCCCTATTGAGTCCAAGTGCAAGTGATAAGAGTCCAACTGTGAAAAGTGACTAGTTCAGTTTGTATTTGATGTTAGCAGGAAAGAGTTGATATTCGGCAACCAAACAAAAGAGTTCTCATCTGATTAGAGCAGGAGGCACTTCACCAAGATAGGGGAGCAGAAGTGTTGTAACAATGGAAGAGAAATGTGTAAAGGACATTATAAGTGGAGAATAAATGGAAGCATGAGTGTAAAAGTTACTGTCCAATAAATATTCGTTCAAATCCGAAACACACATAATTTCTTGTCGTGTTGCCTAGCAAACATGTGACAATATTATAAATTTCTAATAAATAACATGAAGAAGAAATTAGGCATAACCATTTAATAATTACAGAAGCTGACAAAGGCAGCTCATTAGTAATAACACAGAGGCAAGAATATAATAAAAAATATACATGTTCATAACTATGGCACCTTTCCAAGAACACGTAGACATTACTGATAATTACCAAAGAAAAAATTTGAAATAATAACAATAACCATCATAATCTCATCAGTAAAGCGTATGAAATGGAAACATATAAACCGCAATCCACAAGCCCTCAAAATATGCAGATTGATCAAATTACATAAACTAAATAAATCCATTAAACCCATAGTCAATTGGTGAAATACTCTAGCTTACAAATTAGTGAAACATTTCAGTAATCTTCTACAATCATTTGTTCAATTACAACTCCTTCAATGTATATATCAAACCCTTCCATTTAACTACTGATCTTCAACTCCTGATATAAGAAAAAGTTCTTTTGATATAAAAAACAAGTATACAAATATTCCTGTTCAAGAAAACAATTACATAATTTTCAATATTTTCACCTTCTATAACTCAATGCACAATGCATTTAAACAACAAATATTACACATAAAAGGTAAGGGAAACATGTCCATGTGCTTAACTAAGCACTATGGCATGAAGATGTATGGGGGAGTGGATGTATAGATCCATGTTTTCTTGACCTCAGCACTAGCTAGATGTGAGTGGTCAGCTTCACGCCTGGCCACTTTAACTGTGGGGAAAGAGCCCCTCGTACCCAATGGTATGAGGCTGGGCAGGCTCCAGGGCTAGTCTGATAGACTTGAAGAAGTGAAAATTCTTGCCCCCACTGTGCTCAAACTCTGGCCCCTTGGCCGTCTAGCCCATAGCCAGTCCCTATACTGAATGCACTATCCCCAAGACTTAATATCAACCAAAACTACTTTAAACATGATGAACAATAATACTGTGACGTGATGCGCTATGCAGGACACCCCTCCCCCCGCCAGCGGTGACGTAACACCATCAGAGCACTGTCGTTAGTAGGGTAGCAGGCAAGTCAACATTCCTTCCCCTACCCCACCAGCGGTGATGTGGCCAAGGAATGCCGCGTTTGCTATGCAGCCGTAAACAACTCCCGACAGCATTGCCAGTAACACCTGTAAACACGGCGCCAGACAACAGTGGTGCCTATGACGTGGCTGTTTTCTGTGCTGTCTGTAACGGGGCTAAATAAGGAGCAGCGAACGCTGTTTACAGTTAGTTACGAGTTACGAGTTAGCCAGCAGTGAGTCAGTCAACCAGTCAGTTGTAGTCAAGCCTTTGCAGGCCAAGTAATTGTAATACTGCAGACAGCAGTAGCTGTGAGATTGTAAACTGTGTGATTGTATGAGCGAGTGTGAAATAAATTCGCTATATCCAATACGGCGTGAAGTTACTTGTCACGCGTTATACGCCCAACACGTGACAATATATACAAACTGAAGGATGCTATGGGACCCTCCACCTCAGTGATCTTCTCTGAAACATACTGTATATACAGTATCTGAAATACATGTCTATGTACCAAATTTTGAAGACAAACTATCATAGGCTGCTTTAGGTACGTTGCCGATATTCTGGTCATTTGTAATACCCAACTCGTGAACATCATCAATGCAACAGCATTCAATAATCAACATCATCACATAAATTTCACCTTAGAAAGAGAATTTTATAACCAAACATAACAATTACCAATGAATCATTTGGATCGATTTCAGCATAAACCACAATCTACCTATACAGATATAATAATCTCTAATGCTTGATGTCACCTCTACAATAAATGTCAGCTATAAATTTTCTTATAATCACAATAAATGCATATCCTATGCCCCCCTCAAAAGAAGAAGAAACCATAACTAAAATCCTTCAGAATCATCTAGAACAAATTAAAACAAAATTTTAACATAATAATCCAAATCAGATGAAAATAACAAAAAAATGGGCAGCATTTACATACTTTGACAAAGAAACTATGGCAGTGTGAAGCAGGTGGCCAGCAGCAATCTGCTCACTACCTGATTCATGCTGGCTTCTTGCTTGGATTATTCTTCAACCATGAAGATGGAGGCAACATGTTCCGCTGAGACATCAGGTAACTTTCAGCAGACTATATGGCATTATATCCCAGAAGACAGAACTCTTGAGAAGAGTTAGTTCTTTTCAGTCATTGCAATTAAAAGTAATAAATAGAAATGTTAAACGTAAGAAAACAAATGTATACATGAATGGGCAATTATTTCATTTTCTTAAAAGGGGCAAAATGCCATAACATGATATATGGTTAACAAATTATTCAAATTTTCTGCTCCAAATTATATCCTCAAAATTTCCTACAGTTTGCCCATAGCACTGTATATGCAAATTGTTACCTGTACAGGGTATACACAAAAGAATGGTGCAGTTTCAAAAGTTAATAAGAAATCTATTTCTCAACTTACACGGGCACAACATACACCATCAGTGGCGGCAACTGCCCAAGTTTCTCATGCATTAATTACAAACCTTCAATATGTGCACTCTGAGTCACATGACACACATCCACTCAGAAATGAAACTCATCCCAAACCCAGTGTAGCATGTCTGCTGTAATGGCCCACATCACAAAGTTCATGGATGGACGTGGGCAATGGTGGTACATAAACGCTGTCTTTAATGAACCCCAAAAGAAACAAATTGCACTGTGTAAGATCTGGTGAACGGGGTGGCCAAGGGAAAAGGTTGTCTACATTTGCTGCAGCACATCCAATCCAGCGCTGTGGAAGAACGTGATTGAGAAACACTCGTAAATTCCTGTGAAAATGGGGAGGAGCTCTGTCCAGTTGTAGAATGTACTTGTCATGATTGGTATTCAGTTGGGGTAACAACCAGCTTTCCAACATGTCCAAAAATGAGTCACTAGTCACAGTTGCTTCATAAGAGAAAAACAGGCCATGCACTTTCTAGTGGGACACCGCACAGAAAACACTGACTATTGGAGAGTCACGCTAGTGCTCTATTGGTGCATGTGTTGCTTGGTTCCCCAGACACGGACATGGTGTCTGTTCACCTTGCCACTGATGTGGAATGTCCCTTTATCAGAGAAGATCAGTCTTTCTACGAACCCATCTTCCTCCATTTTCAACTGCATCTCCATGCAAAAGTCACACGAAGTGAACTGCTGGTAGCGCATGAGAAACTTGGACAGTTGCCGCCAGTGATGGTGTTAGTTGTGCCCGTGTATTGTGAGAAATAAATTTTTTATTAACTTTTGAAACCACACCATTCTTTTGTATATACCCTGTATATAAGGGAGGGGGAAGAGGTATAGTTAGAGATTAAAAATACCCGCATGTACAACATAAAGCTTCATACAAACAAGATATGTATAATGGATATGTATGAAAATAAACAAAGATAATGGGATTAGTTACAATAAATAAAATGAAGGAATACCAAATATGGAAGTATAAAAATGAAAGAGTATGAATATTACTAACCTGCCGGTGTTTGTCAAGAATCGAACCAAAGAAGCGATATGTGTCAGGGAATCCTTGTGATCGAGCACATTCCCGTACACTCACAACCCGTGCCTGTTCTGGATGTAGTACCCGGCCCTGATAATAAAAGGAAGAAACAACATGGAAGTAATCTAACAGTGTAATGGCTCATGTGAGAAATGCAATGATAAGAAACTTACTCATTTTTTTGGCAAACTTATGCTTGGGATTTCTGCCTTGACCTTAAAATTCCTTACTTATACTAAAAACCGCAATTTCCAGATACCTGCAAACTTCATCACAAGCTTGACATCATTTTTAGGTGGCTTCTTTGCCTTGAGGGAAAGAAGCAGGAGCATGAAATAACCATGCTGTCTGTGCATCCACACATTTGAACCTTTGAATAAGGTGAACAATTTTCTTGAAACTTGGTATGAACATTGTGCCATTGGAGGCCACCCAAATATCATACTTCTTAACTTCATAATTAGTAATAGGAATATGGTGGACGAGTGAACTTGTTGGGTGAGAGCAACATCAGTGCCACTTAATTTAGGGGCCTGATATGATGTGCGGTAACAACTCTTATTAGGTATGTGTGTTTGTGTTTGCTAGGGTAATACTTTTGTAAAATGTAAAATAAAAATGTGGTGGCCATATAAAATATTTACTTAGCTTTTGGTTTCAGTGATAACTAAGGAACTATTAAAATGTGGCATTGGAAGAGATCATAACACCCCTACACATTACATGACTTATTGTTTGTATGCTAAAAATTTCAAACATGGTACAAATCTTGGAATGACAAAGCATCCAGCATAAACAAGTGTATTGTAAATAATCCTATTATTCATATAGCCTTACACAATTCTGTACTCTGGGGCCAACTTCAGAGGCTTAAGTGTAAAAGGAACTTCCTGACACTCAACATACAGTCTGTAAAGATCTAAAGTCATGAAAACATAAACAAGAATGACGTTCAAATATTGTCTCCGGTGCACAGGCATAAATTCTGTTTCTGACAATGTCTATATAGACAAAATATTTTATCTTGTAGCTTGTCACAGAGAAATGGTAAAGACAGAGCTGTTTCTGTGCTCAAGTACCATTTTATGAAGATACATGAGGCAGCAGAGGAACAGCTCTACACATTCTTAATCTAACATGTACATACTTGTAAGTAGTAAACTTCATCCTCCAGCTACACTACCCCCATGTACCCATAAAGATACATAAACGGGTGGGCCCCAGAATAGGTCTTCATGTGGTGTCAAAAAGACAAATACATACCCTTATAAGGAAACAGACCCTGCTTATCTGCAGAGTTTAAGAGCTTAATAAGATCTATATTTTTTAGTTTTTTCACCAGTAACTGTTTTAGTTCTGGTGGGAAAGGTTATAATTAGAACCTTTTTTGAAGGCAGGTGGGTGTTTTCTAATTAGAACTTCATATAAAGTAGAGATTATAAATGAAAGTTAATTCTGAGTAAGACCTTTAATGGTAAATTTTCAAAATATCAAAGTTCATCAAGACCAGTTCTGCAGCTCCAGATGAAACAAGCAGATATGACTCACAATTATGCATTTTATGTACACTATGAAAAAAATGCATAAAAATGTCACCATGAAATCATTAACATTATATTAATTATTCACAGTGGAAGTGGAGTTCTGTATAACAAATTATGGACATTTTGGACATTATCAATTGTCCTGTCTTTTTTTACTTAAAACAATGTTTCAGAGATTGGACTCACTCCATCATCAAGTAAAAAGCCTATTCAGTTGGGCCCAATCAATAGAGCTAGACCCTATCTCCAGACACCAGAAACAAGCAGACATTTAGAAGTATATATTAAGGAGTACAAATACAATTATGTGACATCTGCTTGAAAAATCAAAATTATCCCAACAAGCATACAAAGAAGGCCAAAAATTATGTTGGAAAGAAGCAAAGGTCTTGCAGATTGAACCAAACACCATGTACAGGGAGTACAAGGAATAAACCTAACACGTCTCTGGTCTTTGTATCTGATCTGCCAACTCAGCTTGAATATCCCTCCCAACACTGTAGAAGAAGTTATAAAATTATAATTTCACCTTGTTTAGACCATACGGTAAAGTTGCATTTTTATGTTTGTACTATACAGGTGCCCAGTCTCTAACAGAAATGAGTACCAGGAATTAATTAAATAATTTTCCTGGGGAGCAAAGCACAGCTGGCGCGCAAGGCTGACAACCTTACCACCAGCTTTGAGCCGATCGTCTAGATAATGTGGGAACCTCAACGTTCTCACAACCCTATGGGCCTTCAGGGCCTGTTACAGGGACAGCTTTACTTTACTTTATTATATAGGTGCCATGCTTCAGTATTGGTTTTATTTTCAGTTAGGTCCTATTTGATATTTAGAAATTTTCGTCTGTTTGAACTTTACGTCTTGGTGCTTGTTGAATCTAATGTACATATATATATTAACTGTGACCTTAAAGACGAACAACTATATCCTACCATTGATTTTATATTTTCCTTTAGATTCTGACTCTTTAATTCTGGCTTCTACTTTTGTTGGACATCAGCTGTTATATTATGCAAGGCCTCATGTATGTGGCATTTTAAAATGTTTGTCTTAATTCCCACAGATGGTTTATGTTGTATTTGGTTTATATGTTCTGCTTTGTATGGGTTCTGGTGTCTGGAGACAGGGACTAGCTCATCAGTTGGACCCAACTGATTTAGCTCTATACCTGAGGATGAAGACAGCATCCAGTCACTGAAATGTTGTTTTAAATAAATAAATAAATAAATAAATAAAAAAGATGAAGCAAAATCTAAAAAGACAACACTTGTAACAATGATAAGAACTGCGACTCAAAAGCAAATTTGTTCCTTGGCAACATATTTTGTCAAAATAAGAGAAGAGATCCAAAATAGGATTACAAGTTTTATTCTGCACAGTGCCAGGAACTTTCTTCTGCCACAGAATTCAGACCAGTTTTGGGGTTCACCCAGCATCCTGTTCAATGCATACCAGAATCTCCTTCCTCAGACGGCAGAGTAGGCAAAATGTGAAGCTGACCACTCCCTTCCTTCTAGTGATGAGGTGAACAATGAATGGATCTTTGCATCCACTCCTACTCTAAGTCTTAATGAAATGACACTTACACATAGGCAAATATACCCTCCACATGAGCAAAAACACAAATTAGCATCTGAAGTTAGGGCTGCTCCATAGCCCAAGCGGTTAGTCGCTGGCTTCCCACCGCGGTGGCCAAGGTTTGATCAAGTGGGATTTGTGGTGGACAGAATGGCACTGGGGTGGGTTTTCTCCGGGTACTTCGGTTTCTCCTGCCAATCTTCATTCCAGCAAATTCTCCATCATCATAATCACCCAGAGCAGGCTACAATAGGCCAATCAGTGGCCGCCATGCCGAGTGGACCCAGTTGGACTCCACTCCCCACTAAGCGAAGATGAAGTTAACAAGTGATATAAAATGTGTATGTAAATGTACGCAAAAACTGGTAAAATGACTGTCATCAGGTGTAAGTTTCACAGCCAAAAGAACATGGATGGTACGATTCCTGAAAACAGGAAATTTGCCCCCCCCCCGCNATTCTACACAGTTACCTGTTTGCCCATGGGCTCAGGGTTTGTCACAGTTGTGCTGAAAAACCCATCCCACTCCAAGCGTCCATACAACCCAGCCCAATGGTTGTGTCTATTACTGGTGTGAGGGAGACACCATGGGATCAGAGTATTGTACTGTCTGTCCATTGGATCACATGCTTTCCCATTAGCACAGCCACACACTCCACGCAGACCCCCTGTCGATGATTTGCCATTCTTCATGTCATGATGTAAGTATTGCCTGGTATACACAAAAGTCAACATCAGAGAAACACATAATGCTAGTGTGGGACTCAAATTCTTCAGACTGAATCAAAAAAAGTTCTAGATTTCAACTTGGGTCTTCATATTGAGTATTTTCTCATTACTGCTTTTGCTTTACATACTAGCAACTGATATCAGGAGTGAAACATCATACTTGATGGAATGAAAGGCAAATTCATTCCCCAGCCTTTTCAAGAGTTTCAAAAAAAAAAAAAATTAGATAATCGTGAATTCTAATGTTACATATGTATTAGACGTCTTTAATCCACTTTAAGCCCACTGCATCTTCATGCCAAAATCTGTTCTGCCATTCCATGACAGCAGCAAGTGAGACTCGAATGTTCCAAGGCCAGAAGCCACAAGCTTGCCCAAAGTACCATCTAAGTTATGGAAAAGGAAGGGATTAATTCAGTAATTTATATCACAAGATTCTGTGCTAACACAAGTGTCCTTCCCCATAAAAATGGTAGATCATGTCAAGGAAAGGGACACAAGTGCAAAAGAGAATGTGGCAGTTATGATTTCTACTTCAAGATTATGGTGAGTAAACATGCAGAACAAGACACAAAGCATCCAAAAAATACATTCTCTCAAGGCAAACAGCCGAAGTTGAAACAAGATAAACAGGAACTTTGACAATTCCACACAAATATTTTCATCTGTAGGGATTCAAAGACCCATTGGAATACGAGGTTCTTTCAACAATATTAAATTCAGTGAGTGGCAGAAGAAATTTATCCAGCACAGGGTGGTGTGCATAAATGATACGGAGAAACAAGAAGCAGGTTTCATTGAAAGTGAAAAACTTCACTTTATAATAAGTTACATCAAACTTCAAGGTAATGCTAGTGAAACATCAATGTATTCTGATATTCCATCCAATTACATCATGAGAACAGGGATGCAAAATCTGCTGCTATAAAAACATCAGACAATGAAAATATAAGCGTGACTGTATGTGATGCTGATAGAGTTGGTGGACAACATGGAAACACCAACATATGCCCCCCCCCCAAATCTGAGGTATGACTGCGTATGGGTCTATTAATCGGGTGTTATCCTACAGGATGGAAGACTAAATTAAGTGATGGAGGGCTTGTTATAAGTTGCCTGGAACAGAAGAACACTAGTACTACTGAGAAAATGATGAATGTTTATGCTGGTTGTAATTGAAAGTCATTTCAATCTGGATTCCAGATCTGTAGTTCTTGCAGTGAACATTGAGCTTGTGGTCATTCCTGGACAGATGACTTCACAACATACTCATTCTTGTGAATGTGCCTTTCAAGAATCATTGGGGGGGGGGGGATGCATTCCAAATAGCTCTAGGCATGAGATCAGATATCTGGAATGTAGGCAGTCAACATAAGAGTGTGACCAGTGAATGTTTGACCGAAGCTGGAAACTGTGAAGACACCAAAGTTAAGACGGATGATAAGAATGGTGAATAGAGACTGGCAAAGCTGAATAGAGGCTACTGACTTCAAGAACCTAACTCAATAAATTTAATTAATAACACATTTTCTAATACTTATTTCCTCCCAGGTTTCTTGTAAGCGTACAAAATTATTTTTTCTGTGCAGACAGGTTTTCCAGCCCAGGGTCATTTTATATTCAGAGAATCATCTTCCATTCAGGTCAATACAAGGGAGTATCCTTTTTTTTTATTGGGTAAAAAAAAACTAGGATACAAAAGTGGCCTAGGCAATGCCCATCCGGCCTTCTGTAGCACATTCTAAAAACTTCTCTTTCTGTAGTAGCGGTGGGCCCGCGGTTAATTCACATCTTAGCATAAATTTGAGAATGTTGTGAGTGGTCCGTGCCATTTCCTCTTGTTCTTTCCTTACGTATCCGTTAAGGGAGTATCCATAATTTCCAGGACTGGTACTGCCATCTGTACAGCAGTTGTAGTAGCGCGATGCAATGGTAGATGGTAATATTAGCATATCTTGGGGGTCAGCTTACAAAATTTCATGGAACTGGGTGGACGTTCCTTTATTTGAAGGCATGTATCTCACCTGATGCAATTTCACGATGAATCTAACCAAGGAACAGCGAGTGTGCATCAAATTTTGTGCAATCTCAGAAAAAGTGCGATGGAGACTGTGGCAATGATTAGACAAGTGTTTGAGGAAGAAAGCATGAGCTGTACGCGGGTGGTTGAATAACATGCTCGATTCAGGACCGGTCAGACATCCATTGAGGACGACCAACACACAGGTAGACCCATCAGCTGTACAACACCCAAAACTGTTGCTGAACTTCAACAGCTCATTCATGAGGATTGACACTGAACCATTCAAGACATTGCTGATGAGATGGGAATTGGTTATGGGACATGCCAATGGATCCTGACTGCTGAATTTGGCACGCATCATGTCGCTGTCAAATTTGTGCCCAGGATTCTGACAGCTGATCAGAAGCCGCAGCGTGTCAAAGTCTGCGAGGAGCTTAGTTAGATCACCTCTGACAATGCAACATTCTTGCTAAGGGTTATCACTGGTGACAAGAGCCAGATTTACAGTTATGACCCTGAAACATAGCAACAATCCACCCAAAGGAAAAGTCCAAATTCACCAAGACCTAAATGGGCAAGACAGGTGAACAGCAAAGTCAAGAGCATGCTCATCATTTTCTTTGACATTAGGGGATTGTTCACAAAGAAGTCTTCCTGGTAGGCCAAACAGTCAATTCCACATACTACTGACGTTTTATGGCAACTGCATGAAATATGCAAAGCCTTTGTCCTGAACTTTGGCAAAGAAAGAACTGGCTGTTGCATCACGACACACCGTCTCACACTTCCTTTTCACCAAGGAATTTTTGACACATACACACACAAAAAAAAGAGCATGAATGTTGTCCCCCACCCACCCTACTCACCTGACTTGACCTCCTGTTACTTTTTTGTTTCCCTGACTGAAGATAAAAATGAAAGGCCGCTGTTTTGACACAACTGAGATGACTGAGGCAGAATCATAGGTAGTGCTGAACACCCTCACAGAACACAACATTCAGGATGCATTTAAAAAATGACAGCACTGGGAACAGTGCATACATGCAGAAAGGGACTACTATGAGGGTGATGGTGGCCAGTAGGCCCAAAGTTAGTTTTGGACCAGATGGTAGCATCAGTCACAAAAATTATGGGTACCACCTCATATGGCAGTAAACTTCAGTGAACTGTGAAAAACTGTCTAAGTGTTATAAATTATTACAGTGGGAGGACTAGTCTGTTAGAGAAACTGTTTATAAATTTTCAACTCAAACTGAAAGTCGTCCTCATTCATGCCAATTCATTAAGTACCATGACATGAAAGAGTATGAGGGAGTAGAGGAATAGCTCCACGATTCTTTACCTTGGCGCTAGATGAAGCAGGGTGTTAGGGGTGGACGAGTATGCCTGGTGAGAGAGGAGGGTATTTAAACTGCAATACAAAGGAACACCAATTGAATTCATAGAAGAATCCCCAAAGCGCAGGTCACAATAATGAGCTGAATTACTTGGGGGTTGTAGTTTACTCTGCTTTACAAAAGAGATATTTCTTTCCAGATTTCCCCGTCATTGCAGAAAAAGTATTTGGGAAGGGTGGAGGAGTACGGTATTTAACCAAAACACACAAACAATGTAGGCACTTTCCAGTTTAAAATGCAAGTAAAGTAAATATCACAAAATATGTAGCTTTATTTAACATCCCAAGAAATATGTAGGAAATGCCAAAATATGTAGAATGAAATTCAACCGTAGCAATTCTAATTCTGCAATTCATAGTAATAATTACCTTTTGAGCATCTACATAGTAAGAAATAAAATATGTATTGATATAAAAATCACAGCACGACTCATCAGTAATGAACCTTTAGGTTCCGTTTCTTAATTGGCTCCGTAACTGTTACATTCTCAAGGAATGTACTTTAATGAGTTAGTTAAAACTACAGTCTTATACAGCATGTACAATGACTTTCAGTTATTTGCAAGACCAGTGTCCAATGGCTTCCTTCAAAGTTGTAGGGGTGGTGGAACATTAGAGAATAAGGTAAACTACTGTTTGCATAAAGATAATTTTGAATCCTTCAGATTCTGTTACTCAGAGAGCTTTATTATTATTCTGAATTATACACAGTAAAAAGCATACAAAATAATGTACTGTGACATGACACCTGAAAGCCGCAATAGTGGAGTTAGAGCCAGGCTTCCACTGCCAGACAACGGTTCAGTAATCAAGTTTCGTGTAGTTTACGTGTGTGCTGTGTAAAACGACACAGCATGCACATAAACTACACAACTAACAATAAGAACACACAGTCAAGAGAAATAAACGACATCTTCCACCATCAGGAGGAAAACAACATGACCCAATATTGGCTCACGATATTTTAACATAATAACTAATTTTTTTAAATACAAAAGAAATTTTAATACAATTTTAAATACATAGGAAACTACTGTATGGAAAAGTGAACATCATATTGCATGCAGTGGGAAATCCCAACCAGAATACCCAGCAAATATGCTTAAATGAAACAGTATCATACGTAAATCTACACTTCAAGAAGTGTCATGGTGAATGCTTAAGGCAAACATCAAAACTAACTGTAATATTAACAAAAAATTTATAGTGAGCATTATTCATAGCTTAAGTGCATACTGTTAAAATATTTTGTGACAGTGATTCCTCATCGTAGTGGTGTGCCTCTAAGGATGATTCTTTTGAATCGAAACATGTCAGGTGAATAAAGCCTGAAGTGTTGTAAACTTGTACGTCACAGTGGACTGAAAATTATCCACTTTGTTTCTAAATGTTTGGTATAATAACTCGCTATACACAGCCATGTGCCCCAGCGTGTTAAAACTGGTTCTGGCGGAAGTGGAACGCTCAGTGCTACTGCTTTAAAGGCTTCTTTTCTCTATGGCGCTTTAACAAATACCTTCTTCACAGAAGACATCAACTTGTCAGCAAGCGGAAAATTTGCACGAATTGTTTCTGCAACACGGTGCAACCCATGGGCAAGACAAGTCAAATGTGTCATATTTGGAAATTAAGAGCAGTACCAGCTTACATCATATAACTTGCGCATCAGTCACAAAGAGCAATACGTGCTCATACTGAATGCCATTCAGCCACAGTGAATTCATGGAATTGATAAAAAATTTGGAAACTGCGGAGCTATTTGTGGTTTCAAATTGCTCTACCGCAAGAAGATATGGGGTAGATTGTTCATTCTTATTAAGGGATCTAACTATACAATTTGCAATACACTGTCCCTCACAATCTTGTGTTTTGTCGATTGATACCCACACAAAATTATCTTGAATCTTATCTCTAATGCTTTCAATTGTAAGATCATAACACTGCTTCACGTAATTTTTGCGCATAGTAGATTCATCCGGCACTTTGCACTGTGTATACTTCTCTATGAAGTTTCTCAGAGTAGGAATGGTTAGTTTCCACAGTGGAATATGTGCCGCTAAAAGGGCTTCGCATAAATCAAAGGAAAACTGTGAAAAACTATTACTAGAAAATTCACTAAGCAATTTTTGAACAGGAGCACTTTTCATGGATTCAATTTTAATATTCTCTTTGTGTATATTAGTGTTCAAATGCTGAAGAACTTGAAAGCGTTTTTCACAATCAACTGTTTTCTCACACGCTCGGCAATAAAGAATTTCATTATCTGTACTAATCATCTCTCCTTTGAACTCCCGCTGATACAGCTGTAATTTAGTTTTCTGACTTACTTTCACTTTCGGCATGACTACAGAAAGCTAAACAAACTTAACTACAGACTAGTCACCACTAATGTGAATGGCCCCCAGCTTCAAATGAAGAAGCATAACAAACCTCATGGACACTTCAGAAATAAATACGTAAGTGAAATTCCTTATTGGTTGAATAGTATTACGTTGATAGTGGCTACATGTGAACGCTTCTGACTAATCTCTTTGCGGCCACTTTGATGGTACGCGGATGAGGCAAGTTACGAGTGGAGGGATCGGGGAAGTCCCATCCTGGGTATTGCATCAGAAACATGAATCATGACAAAATGTTGAGTCAAATATGCAACATATTCTAATACAGAAAAGAAAAATTGTATATGCATGACCCTGATTGAAAATTTGAACATAAAATTAAAAAATATATGATAACCATTTTAAAAGGGAAATATGCAGTATAAATAGAGATCTTCGAAAATATGATGCTTATTCATAAAACAGGCAAAATATGCATTTACTATATGCACCATCAGACCATGTCCAAAATTTAAGAAATGAAGTAATTTATACATATATCCAAACGAGGATACTTTCTGGTTGCAAGAAATATGCATTTGTAATAAAATCCTGTCCCTAATAACACAAAGAGTTTGCCAGACAAGGAAATAAGTGTGAAAAGATCCAGAGTTCAAGAGACTATAGTCTCTTCCAGATTCTTCGTGTTACCAAGCAGAGTTACGTGTAAGACATTCGGTTGCAGCTGAGAAGCTGTCAGTCGAGGAGAATTCGGAAGGCAGCTGAATAGTTGAAGCACTGAAGACATTATTTCATGTGTGTAATTGTAAAAGAACACTAATAAATCCATTCATTCCATCTAGAACACTTTATTTTTGTTATGCATATCCCCCTACACATGACAATATTCTTGGATGGAGATGGGATGACATTGACTTTGGACTCGAAACTATGTTAAATTATCTGATAAAAATACTGTACCTGCTGCAGCATCAACTTACAGTTTCTTTGTGAATGTCCCATCAGACAGTCTAACCATAATGTTGGGAAGATCACGCCAGTCAGAGCCAGAAGCTGTAGGTATATGTGCTATTCGTGCCTCAACAAGAGGAGCCATGTCTTTGCATATGTGATCACGCAGTATGGGCTGATACTGATTTCCTCGGATCTTTAAATATAAAGTTTATAAAATTAAAATTATACACTTATAATTACAAAAGCACAGCAATTATACTAATGTCACAGATAGCCACCAGATTTCAAGAGCTCACCAAGCGCTGAAAATGTGATACAGGTTCCCCACCGTAAGGTATTTCCTCTCTCTTATGTCCATTACGGATCTTTGGAAGGTCAGACATAGCATCACGAACAGTAATGGTTCTCAAAGGTGCTGATGTCACCCACTTGCAGTTTGACAGGAACTGAAAGTGAAAAAATTAAGGCGGTTGGACTACAAAATATTTATCGCTTTTTCAGTACATAAATAGCCAGATGATTGAAAGAACATTTAAATTATAATGCAGAATAAAATACTAGCTAGCAACAAACTATCTAAATATGATGAAAACTATCTCCACTGAGCAGTTTCTTGAGAAATTATAGTTACTTGGCTGAAGAAATTCCCCACCTCTACAAAACCTGAAAGTTCATACCATACCAACTTCAGCCTGCAATGGACTCTATCCTCAGCCAGATGTATCTATTCCACACCTTCACAGTCCACTTCCTGAATATCTATTTTAATACTATCTGTCCACTCTATGCCTATGTCTCTGAAATGGTCTTTTCCTCTCAGGTTTTCTGACCGAAACTGTGCATTAGCCATCTACCCCATGCATGTATAATGACTCATATAGGTCATCCATTTTGATCACTTCTGTATTTGATCATGAAAAATCGTACAACTCCTTATTTAGTCATTTTCTCTGTCCTGTCATTTCCTCTCTCTAAGGTAAAATATTCTCCTCAGCACACAGTTCTCAAACACCCTCAATCCACTGTGGCATACAAACCTGTTGCTAGGCAATGACTGCAAAACAAACAAGACAACAGCCGTTGCTAGGCAGCAGCCCATGTGAAACAATGGAAGTACTGTTGGAAGCAGTGTTTTCTATGTGGTCTGCTCCGAGGCTATATCATGCAACTGAGTTCAGTTTAGTTAGTGCACTGCAGTGCAGTGGAGTGGAGTGGAGTGGAGTGGAGCGAGTTAGTCGGCGTCCTGCTGTGGTTCAGTCCTTGTGATCTGTTGTTGTTAGAAGCTGGCAGCTGAGGATAGTGTGGGAACCCGTAAGAAGGGGAACGTTCACTGCTGAAGCTGCTACCAAGCAACAGCTGTGAAGATGCAACTGTGAACACTAGTACATGGGTGTAACAGCGAACTGTAAAGTGTAGTCGCAAACTGTATTAAAGCGTACAATAAATCAAGTCACTCCATACACGTGACACAATGTTCTCTTAAAGCTACATTTCATGTCCTTTTTCTGCAGTTTAGCTCACACCAAACAAACTGTTCAGGCCCAAGGCCTTTTTCTACATTTTGCACAAGCAAGTTATTTACAGACAGAGAATTCTGCCATATTCACTCCCCACAGCCCAGACGTCCACTATTTGTTGGCTGTCCATGCTCCTTGACTGGTTTCTAGGTTACGCAACTAATCTGAATGGAAGAGGTTTTCTACGTGGTCCGTGCCGCAGCTATATAACGAGCTGTAACCACAATACCTCCACCATGACCCTGTGAGTCATAGGAGGTGACAAAAAGGAAAGTCTCAAATATTAGACAGTAAAATATGGTCGCAAGTCCAAGGGACATGGGCCCGAGAAACACTGCACTGGCCAGGGCCAGCAGCATATGCAAAAGACAGACCTGTCCTCTCGTCATAGAGGGCATTTCACAAAAACAAGGCTGTAACTGTCAAACAGTAATAAGTACCTGGTCCTGGGGCTCGACACCAAGACTTACTGACTGGTTGACCATCAGTCACAATATGACTTTGACTTTGGCAAGATTAGACCAAATTCGAACTAGGAGTAGAGAAGAGTACAAGAAGTTAGCCTGTCAAGACTTCACGTGTGATTTGAAGGCTTCATGTGCTACAGTCACAGTAATCTTGAGAGAGTAAGACTAATTACAGTTGTGACTAGTGGAGATCCAATAAACTGATTCACCAATCCAAACCCGCATCTTAGTCACTGAGACATGTGACAATATCACCTACTATTGTACTTTTCCCCTCAGTTTGCAATGCAACCATAAAAACAGCATTATTATTGATCAATTAAAAAGACATGGTTATTTTTGGAAATAATGTGTTTAAAACTGAGAGACCAAATCTGATATGTAGTTAACAAAAAAGTCACTATTTCTTTATATCAAAGATACAAATCTTTTGACAAAAATGCTATGTTCACCTTTTTGTCATCCACCACAACTGGAAGCTGACAGGCTTTTAGATTGAAAACATGCATTGGCTCTGGATAATTGGGAAGAATCTCACCAGGAGCAGCAGCTAAAATGATGGCCCTTGGGAAGAACAAACGCAATGACAACTTACTGGATGCACTCAAAGGAGTGAAAAATGTTACTAGCCAGCTAAGCTGTCTGGCCATAAAACACATGAAATTTTCACATTTTACACAGATGTTTTTACACATGCTCATGTTTCATCAATGATTTATGCTACTTATACTGATTTTAATGAGATACAACACTTCAAAAATTAATACAAACCTAACATTTGCACATATTTATGTAACATGTGACACAAAAAATGAAGCTAAAAGAGTGATAAACATGACTGGCTTTGTGGATCTGAATGAAACTCATGTAAGCAGTGTGCGCATTATTGCATTTGCAGTATGTAAATTAGGGACTTTATCTCTGAACCAAAATTTACCTAGTAACAGAGTAAACATTTGGAAGAATATGTATACTTAAGTATGTACATAGATCTATTCCCCCCAATGATTTATTGCAGAAAAAAGTATTTTCCATTTTGAATGTTAAATTTGGGCAGTTCGTTTATAAATCTATCACTTTTTTTTCATCAGCATCAGATGTAGAAGAGTGTCAATTTTCTTGCACTACAGCATGAAGCAGTCTTTTCCACTGGTTGATGGGTGATCAAGTATGTTGTGATGCAATTTAATTTCTTTGCTGCAGTAACACCTGGGACTGAAACAGTTTTCTCTGGCTTTTGTACATAAACTGTTTAAGTTCATTCCAAATGTGATAATCTAGTGACTTAAATCTGGAGAATTTGGAAGCAATTCTGTGGATCTGACAATTTCAACTATAGTGCCATCAGACTGTTTCAAAGATAAAGTAATATGATTATGAAATGCCTATTTTAGAATGAAGAATAGAAAAATGAATCTACCAAAGAATTCTTTTTACACACTTATTATGTAACACCCCACATAAGCATCATTCAAATCTGCACAGCCATCTACTCTCAGCATTTTTTAAACTGTTACTTTTTTGCCACCTGATGTGTGTTTCAGCCTGAAGTAGCCACTTTTTTTCCTTCAAAACTGGTTACAGAGAATTACTCAGCAAGCACATGACAAATAATATGAGAACCACGTTATGAATCAGATGCTCCCAGGATGTTGTTTTGATGTCGGTTCACAGAGAAAATTGTCAAAATGACCAAAAATATTCAGTCTCAGTCAAAAACGTTTTTGCTAGTACCGTCTTATATAATGGACTATTTTCCAATTTGCACTAAAATGCAGAAACAGACTAAATCACAAGCATAGAAAGTTAATTGACATCAGGCACTTATTGCTGTACATGATAATCATGACCATACTTTCTTAATTCCAATTACTATTACAACTTTTAAGGAACCAAAAAGTATGATGTTACCGTCTGAAATTGGATTCAGAAGTTAAGGCAACTATTCCTTAATGTCTCAGTTATCCATCATCAAGCTTTAACATTACCGTAAACAATGTGTTGGTAATACAAGAGTGGAATGGTCCACACTTCAAGCATCTATTTGGTGTACTCTTTATAACCAATCAAATTTTATATGGAGGAGGACATATCATATTATATATTTATCACAAACCTATATGATGTTCTGTAATCAATTTTTCTTTTTCACTTTAGTTACATCTTAATGATATAGTAAAGATTATTTCAAATACAGTAACATTCTGACTTGATAGCTCAAATTCAAATACTGTCACTAATATCAAACAAGGACCTCCCTTTTATAAAATTTCATAAAAACTATGGTCTATAGATTACAATTTAACTACAATGCATTCATTTTATCAGGTGGTATCCATAATTTCTGTGACTGGTGCTGCCATCTGGTCAAAAATTAACTTTCGGCCTACTGGCCACCATCACACTCAATGTAATCCCCTTCCGCAGGTATGCACAGTTCCCAGTGCTGCTGCCATTTTTTAAATGCATCCTGGAAGTCGGGTTCTGTGACAGCATTAAGCACCGCCTGCGATTCTGCCTTGATCACCTCCTTTGTGTCAAAACAGCAATCTTTCAGTTTTATCTTCAATCAGGGAAACAGAAAAGTTGCAGGGGGCCAAGTCAGGCAAGTAGGGTGGGGTGGGGGTAGGGACGACAGTCGTGTTATTTCTGGTCAAAATATCCCTGGTGAAAAAGGAAGTGTGACATGGTGCACTGTCGTGATGCAACAGCTAGTTCTTTTGTTGCCAAAGTTCGGGGTGAAGTCTTTGCACATTTACATAACAATCACCGTAAAACATCACAGTAGTATGCGGAATTTACTGTTAGGCCTGCCAGGACAAATTCTTTGAGAACAAAGAAAATGATGAGCATGCTCTTGACTTTACGCTTCACCTGTCTCACCTTTTTTGGTCTTGGTGAGTTTGGACTTTTCCACTGGGAGGATTACTGCTTTGTCTCAGGGTCATAATCATAAATCCAGCTGCTCTCACCAGTGATAACCCTAGACAAAGCTGGATCATTGGAGGCGATCTGACGAAGTTCCTTGCAGAACTTGACACGCTGCTGCTTCTGATCAGCTGTCAGAGTCATAGGCACAAATTTGGCGCCAACATGATGCATGTCCAATTCAGCAGTCAGAATCTGTTAGAATGTCCCATAACCAATTTCCATCTCATCAGCAAGGTCTTGAATGCTTCAACATTAATCCTCATGAATGAGCTGTTGAAGTTTGGCAACAGTATTGGGCATTGTAGGTCTGATAGGCCTACCCGTGTGTTGGTCGTTCTCAATGACTGTCTGACCGGCCCTGAACCGAACATGCCATTCAAACACCTGTGTACAGCTCATGCTTTCTTCCCCAAACACTTGTCTAATCATTGCCACGGTCTCTGTCGCACTTTTTTCTGAGATTTGCACAAAATCTGATACACACTCACTGTTCCTTTGTTGGATCCGTTGCATAATTGCACCAGGCCAGATATAAAACTCCAAATAAAAGGACATAAAAATCAGCACATCCACCTGGCTGCATGAAATTTTGTACACTAACTCCCAAGATATGCTAGTACTACCATCTACTGTTGCATCACACTACTACAACCGCTGTACAGAAGGCAGCACCAGTCCCAGAAATTATGGATACCACCTCATATGTGTAATGCATATAATAGTGTCCCAAAAAGTAAAAATCCCTTTAGCAAATCTCCCTCAGGTGTCTGAGTCAATGAACCTGTACATTGTTCAATAAATACGTGGGGCAATCCAAAAGTTACCGAAATTTGAATTTTGCGTGCGAATAGTTATGAGTACATCGAAATACGGCTAGGTGTCTCCTCACACATTCTTCTTGAATCAGTGTGGCAAGCGGCGTCGAGTTGAGTGGTTGGGTTTATTGTTGGTGAATATATTCCCATTGTTGTGACCTGAGAGAGCGGCGTGTCTGTATAAAGTTTAGTTTCAAACTTGGGAAAACCACTGCAGAAACGTACCAAATGTTGAAGCAAGCTTTTGGTGAAAACAGTTTAGGCCAGACACAAACTTATAAGAGGTATAAGCGTTTTAAAAATGGCCGAACATTGANAACAGAAGCAGCATCGCTTGGAAATCTGCAGGGAACTTCAGCAACAGCTTCAAGAGGATCCAAACTTTCTTTCGAAGGTTGTCACTGGTGACAAAAGTTGGGTTTATGGCTACGACCCTGAAAGCAAGCAGCAATCGTCGCAATGGAAGAGCCCTTCTTCACCTCAGCCAAAAAAAGCTCAACAAGTCAAGAGCAACATTAAGTTTTTTTGATACTGACGGGATTGTTCATAAGGAGTTCGTCCCTCCTAGTCAGACAGTTAATAAAAGAGTTCTATCGCGATGTCCTAAGGTGTTTGAAGGAGGACATGAGGAGAAAACGTCCAGAGAAGTGGCGCACGAACAACTGGGTACTCCACCATGACAATGCACAACCACATATGGCTTACATTGTGCAGGAATTTTTGGCTAAAAACAAGATGGCAGTTGTTCCCCACCCACCGTACTCGCCAGACTTAGCTCCATGCGACTTCTTTCTCTTCCCCAAGATGAAAATCAAGTTGAAGGGGCGAAGATTTGATACAGTTGAGGAAATTCAAGCAGAAACACAGACTGTACTAAACACCCTAACAAGAAAGACTTCCAGGATGCATTTGAAAAGTGGCAGAAATGCTAGGATCGGTGTATGCACTCCCAAGGGGACTACTTTCAAGGTGATGGTGCAGAATAAGATCTAGGTAAGATGTAATAGTTTTTATTAATATATTTCAGGAACTTTTGGATTGCACCACGTAATTTCTACATGCAACACAATGAATACAAGCCTGACACACTGAACACATCACACATATAGTATCTCACCTCCTCCGTGTCTGAGGTACACCATAGTTTCCAGCCTGCAAAACACCAAATGTGCACTGGTACCCCATTCTCACAAGACAACGAACAGTCAGTTTCAATACCATACTGCGTTTGAATGACACAAAGTTGCGCACGTTCTCTAAGATGAAGAACCTCGGGCGATAAAAGTCACAGTATGACAAATATGACACGACCAAGGAGTTCTGTAAATAGAAAACATTACAGGCAATATTTCATTCTATCAACCACTGGCACAGCACAGAAAACCATAACCATGAAATATTTTATCATCCTCAACTCATTTCACACTACCCAGCTTTAGTAAATGACAGAAATCAATTTTCAAAACCAAGGATACCTATTCCACATTAAGGTGGTCCCTTGTCACCATAGCATGGTGTGTCTTCTGGTTTCCAGTAGAAAAGATGGCCTCCAGGGCAGCTGTTAATATACTGTCACATGTTGGGTGTATAACGCGTGACAAGTAACTTCACGCCTTATTTGATTTAGCGTTATTCCACTCGCTCTTACAATCACACCATTTACAATCTCACAATTACTGCCATCGGCAGTATCACAATTACTACACTGCAATTAACTGGTTACTCTTTCTCTAGTAACTGGCTCAATACTCACTACTACTGAATAGTCACTCACTACTAACTGCTACCTAACTCCTGACAAACTACTGACTGTTCAATGGTGTTCGCTGCTCCTTATTTAGCCTCGTTACGGACAACACAGAAAACAGTTACGTAATAGGTACCACTGTTGCGTAACGTCATGTTTACCGATTGCCTAGCAACAGTCGTTGCACGGACTTCCCACCGTGTTTATAAAGGTGTTGCTGGGCAACGCTGCTGGGAGTTGTTTATGACTACATAGCAACTGCGGCATCGCGTGTTACGTCACCGTGGCAATGGTTGCCTGGTGCAGCCACTCCTCTGCCACATCACCGCGGGGAAGGGGGTGTTTACCGAGTGTTGCACACTGGTGGATGGAGTGGGGGTATGTGACGTCACTCGCGAGGTCAGAGTTCACGCGACCCCCATCTCCCGCTACGCCATCCACATCACAATACTAAATATGCTGTCAGAGATAATTGTCAAGGGTTGATCCTCCAACTGGGGGGTTGTGCAGGGAGCTAAAAACTCCTCTCCATGAGCCAGGCCCTTGAATGTGGATGGAGTGCTGACCAAAAATGATGAAATGGGAAGGGCACGCAATATACATAGGAGAGAGGAGAAATGCACAGTTGTGGGAAGAAAACCAAAAGGGAAGAGACCATTTGAAAGATGCAGGTATAAATGAAAGAATATTAAATAGATATTAAAGAAACAGGATGAGGGGGGGGGGGTATGGGCTGAAATCTTTTGGCTCAGTGGCAGGATTTTGTCAGCACAGTAGTAATATATTGTCATGTGTTGGGTGTATAACACGACAAGTAACTTCACGTCCTATTTGATATAGCAAATTTATTCCACTCGCTCTTACAATCACACAATTTACAATCTCAACATTACTGTCACTGGCAGTATCACAAATACTCTGGCGAAAGATAGACAGCAATTGACTGGTTACTCTCTCTCTAGTAACTCACTCACTAGTAACTGGCTCAATACTCAATAATCACTTAACTTGGCGATCGCTGCATTGAAACTCAACTCAACTGAATAGTGTTCGCAGCTACTTATTTAGCCTCGGTAGTGACAACACAGAAAACAGTTACATAATAGGTACCGCTGTTGCCTGATGCTGTGTTCACAGGTTACCTAGCAACACTGTCAAAGTTGCTTACTGCTCTGTAGCAATCGCAGCATCCCTTGGTAATGTCGCTGTGGGAGGGGGCGGGGTGTTGACTGGCCTATTACCATAGCAGCAACGGTCTGAAGGTGTTACGTTACTAATGGGGGCAGGGTCCTGCATAGCGCAAATATGTCACAATATGAATTCAATAGAATGAGTGGGTTTCTTGCATTAGACAGTATCCTGGACTTATGAATCCAATCTGCACTACCAAACTCTATTTCTTAACACCTTAATCTGATCGGAATTTCTTTGATGACAGAATTTTGATTTCTTATTGCCATCTTATAAGAAATTTTATTTTGAAGCATTAAGCAACATATATTTTCAAAATGTCCACACTACTCATACATGCTGTGCAGTAGCCTATAAATTGTGAGTGTATTAAGCCGGGTCCAGACTTGTTGCGTATCCCCGTATCTTATCAGTGTGGACGGTACCCCGTATCATCCTTCCGTTGGAAAATGATACGCAACGGGCTGTTCGCCCGTTTGGCGGTCTTTTCCCGTCGCATCAAAGGGACGACTCGGGTTGCAGTGGTGCCAGTCTGGACGTATAGGCGGCTGCATCGCGCTTTGCTTATCAGCTCCAGACAGTTGGAGTGTAGTAATCACCAGTGTGCGTTCTTCTGTTTGTGATTCTCTGTTTATATACTCTGAATGGAGTGGAGTGGAGATACGCAACAAGTCTGGATGCAAAATTTTGTCGCGTTGCATCGGACGATATGCAACGGAGATACGATACAGGGATATGCAACAAGTCTGGACCCGGCTTTACAATGCTGATAAATGTTAGTCATAGTGATTTGCTTAGTATGTCAACCTTTCTTTTATATCCTCAGTAAGAAAAAATCTCATCCTAGAGTTTGGCAAACACACTTAAGCTAACACTGGCCAAATTAAAATGTTTAAGCATGGCATACCTTGAAGAGCGAATACTGGCGCGAGTTAAATCTGTTCATTCCACTGTATCCTTGACAAGGAGGACCACCACACAGTAGTTCCACTTCACCCTTACAAGGTAACCGTTGGCCCTTATCATTTGTTTTCTTTCCCTGCCAACAGAATACAGTGTCATGTCCAACAAATGTGGTATTTTCCATAATCAATGTGTTACTTGTGTTTAAAGGAATATATTTAAAATAGTGAATGCAACTTCAAGGTAATTTCTTATTTAACCCTCCAGATTTTGTTCACCTATATCTCACATTTTCAGGGGTTCCTCTGTCATACTGTGTTCCAGTCTAAGTTGGCTATTTGAAATATTATGTTGAAGATATCATCAATATTAAAATTATGTTAAAACTATTAGTTTTTAGAGTTATTATTTCACAAGACCCTATCCTGAACTAGATGAATCCAGTCATTTTCACATCCATTTGTGTATGTGTACTTCTGTTTGATAATGGAGGCAGTGACTGGAATGTTCTGCACTGTAGGTTGTATAGAACTGAACATACTATGAATAATTAAATATGAGATAACTGTATCTCAGAATATGTACTGCATACTCATCTGTTGTAGATAAACAATGCAACATGGCACAGTTGGTAGGACTGTTTCAAAGGCAAGAAGATGGGTGATTTGGAAAATATGAGAACCAGTACAGTTAATGACTTGTGGGAACATCCCACACACTATCACACTGTTTCGCCGATCAACGGTCAACACTAACTCAGGTCCATGGCACATTGCTGCACACTGCTGTCAGCTCTCATTTATACAGCACCCACTGTCCAGCTCACTTTTCACCATCACGTGCACTAACGAATCACACTGCTGCCAGCACTCGTATTTATACACACTCGCTGCCCAGGCCACATTCAGATCATTACACGCGCTAGCCAATCAGCGCTCACAATTGCAACTGCAAGTTTCGCTCCTCCATCAAGCATGGTATAAAAGGCGGAGCCCAAAGCCCGCAATCATCAGTGACCACATCAACCAGTCAGCCATCACACCCAGTCCAGAGCGATCGGCCTTCGGAGTCATCAGCTGCGTCAGCTCTCCAGCGGTCATGCCCAACACACCGGGCAACTGGCGCAGCCGCCGCCAGTCCAGCGACTACGCTCCATGACCAGACGTCTTCCAGCAACCACGCTCTGCGACCAGGCAACTTCCGGCAATTGCTGCACTGCGACAAGGCTACATCCAGTAACTGCCGCCCACTACGGAGGAGCAAGAACCTGCCAGCATGCTCACGGTGGAACGAACAGTGAGGGCGAATCAGTGAGAATAGGCAAATAGCAAGCGCATGTGGTGAACATTAATAACAATCCCAGACTTAAAGCTGCTACAGCATCAGAGGTTATTTCAGCCAGGATATGATTTGTGTTAAAAAAGTTGTAATTAACCCTTCCTAATATGCAGTGTAAATGATAAATTTGTCCAACTTTAAACAGTTGACAGATTTTGTTTGATAAAATCATAACAGTTAAGTCAGGGTTATTAATACCTCAGGTTGTATATCAACCTGTAACTAAGGTCTTTAAATACCAAGATTTGGCAGCAAGACAAAAAAAAAAACTCGGCTTAAAATTAGATAAAATGATGCCTACTGTAAAGGGAGGCAGCTTCATCATAAAGCAAGCAATCAAAAACAAAAGGATGCAAGTAAAATGAGTGGCATTTCAGTTCCAACATTACCTAAGGCCGTGTTATGTACTTGTAAACGAGTTTTCAAGGCATAAAGAAATAAAATGACAATATTAAAAGCAAATTAGCACAAAAGAAGATAGAACTGTATCTATGTTGGACTATAAAGGGGTAAAACATACAGGATATCTGGTTGAAACTTAAAAAATAAATAAAAGAGAACCAAGGAGTTAAAAGAAAAGCAGCAGTATATCAAGCAGTACATGGGCATGTAGATCTGGTCCTACAAAAACACATGTCAAATTCTTGCAGGACCAATTATGTTGACAAAAAACTTCTGGTGAAATTCTATCCTACAGGCAATCTCTACATCACTGAGAAAGGCCACAAAGTTAGATGGCTGGTTCTGAGCTGCAGAATTACTGCCCACATAGCATATAGCAAAGGATCTTTTCCAGACTACCTCATTTTTATTCTAAAACAGTTCTGGCTTTATTACTTCATTCTTCCAGTGGACAGCCAACACTCAGTGTCCATCCTTGGTGAGTCATAGTTTTAAGTGGCTCATGAGCCTCATGTGGTGCACATGTCTGGTTACATTTTGCTTTACTCTTGCAATTTGCTTCTCGGCTCCTATTAGTTATTATATTTTGTATTTTGTTACTTCTGAAAGCATACTAATTTTACTTTCTAACATTCTTCCAATTCAGGTTATTTTGGCTGCATTATCATTAAATATCTGTTCGATTTGATCCATTATACATAAGAATAGACCTAGTCAGCACAGATGAACTTTTATCCTAAAATAAATATGAAATGAGAGACACGTGTTTATCACAGGTTCTCAAGTATCTTGAGAGTCTATGCATTCATTTGTATCAGATTTGAAGGGTAAAAACCACTGAAATCAAAACACTCAAAAACAAGGACTAACAAGAGATTGCCTCACCTGTGGACTTTGCAACTACCCACTGAGGGAAAGGTTACTTGGGAAAACCATCTAACTTGGAATAAAGTGGTGAATATCTGTAGAATAATGCAATCAACTCAAGAAACGCAAGAGAAACCAATGCATGCTGTGAAGTTTAAACCTAAACAATAATCAATATCAAACAACACAGTAGCACACACCCAGTTGGAAAGCAAGTGAATAAATTAGTGACAGGCAGGAAATAAGATGTTATTATGAGGGCGAGTCAGTAAATGGGTCACAAATTGAAGTAAAAACAGCTGTAGTTGATGCAACAGGCTTTACACATGTATCACTAGGCAGCCCCACAGTCAAGCTTCATGACAGTCTAGATAGAAGATGTACGTGCATATGTTCGAGGATGGTTTCAACATTCAAGATGGCGACTGTGCTTGGGGGTGTAATACAGAAGAACACTGTTCTGTTATGTGTTTTCTGTGGGCAAAAGGACTCAAAAGGATTTGTAAAGAAATGTTTCTTGTTTATGGTGGGAAATGTTCGTCATATAAAATAGTTCACAACTCGGTGGCAAACGTTCTGCTGGTGACACAGGATGAAACGGAGGTGCAGAAGTGGCTGAGACAATAGTCAAAAGACTTGTATGCTGCGGGTTTCAATGCAATGATAAAGCTTTGGGACAAGTGTATCAATGTTGGTGGAGGATATGTTGAGAAATAAAGGTTTTTCCCCAGGTTAAAATATCACATGTTTTAGGGTTTGTATTCATTTGTGACCATTTGTAACAACTGTATTTACTGTGGACAATCACATCCTAAAGGTAATGTCCTCCATATCATAAAAGAGTATTTTCAGTGTAAAAGAGTGAATCACTTCTGAAGTATGTGTAAGGACTGGGCAATACAGGAACCTACATTCAAAAAAGAAGAGGAAATGAAGGGGAATGCATAAGCACACTTATTCTGAACTTCTCACCTATATTATATTTAAGCATCCTGTTGCACTCTACACGATAAATGATACAAACGTCTTTACTACGTAGTAAAGACAAGCAGCGGCACACACACAGGAAGACTACACAGAATAACACCTGTATAGTGTGGAAGCAAGAACTAGCCGCTGCAGCACTTTAGACATAGGGCGAGTAACCCTAACAATTTTAAACTTTAAATTTAAAATTTAGAGAAAATTTTAAAGGATTTTAAAATTAAAACTAAAGATTTTATAGTGCTAGTACAGGAAAATCAAAATTGATGTGTGCAAAATAATCTACATACCAGACACATATCAACGAGGTAGATGTTGATAATAACGAAGAAAATAACAATGTGTTTTTTAAATGTTAAATTATAGACTGGGTTCAGTGTGGCAGCAACGTAAGAGTATACACCTGATGATGGCCGTTAGAGGCCGAAACATGTAGTGTAGAAGAGAACATGATCAAAGACATATAATATATATTGTTTGCACTTGGGACGGAGTTTGTATCATTTATTGTCACCTATGTTGGTTCCCTACGAGTTGCTAAATTGAGGGAATGCTGTCAATACATGTAAAAAGGTAAAGTTGTCCCTGTGCTTAATTATGTACTACTTCAGAAAGATATACTGGGGAGTTTAGGCATAGCTCCACCCTTCTTGACCTTGACAGTAGATGGAGGTGAGTGGTCAGCTTCATGACCCAGCCACTTTACCGCTGGGGAAATCAACCGTGGTATGCACTGGATATGAGACTGGGTAGGCCCCAGAGCCGGTCTCGACACAACAGAGAAGAGAAAAATCTTGCCATTCTGAGAATTAAAAACCAGGACATCCAGCCCCATAGCCTGTCACTATACTACCAACTCAGTTATCCTGATGGCTGCTACCAATACATGTGATTCAGAAAATATATGAGGGTGGTTCAAGGTTGATCTGGACTTATTTTTCCAAAAGATGTTGGCACCAGAGCAACAAATCTTGTTGTGGAAGATGGTGGAGACACTGTTCTCATTTCTTGATATGTGACAGTCCCTCTTTGGTCTGCAAAATATTGGCAGTGCATGATAGCATCAGACCCTGCCACTCCAAGCACAGAAGAGACTTGTCATCAGATTTCTACCGACTACGTGAAACCAGCTGAAATTCTACGTAGGCTAAATGCACAGTATGGAGAAGAGACTCTATTACAAACCAGTTTACATGAGAGGTGAAACAAGTTTTCCAGGCTGTCAAGAAGTCGGTGACTGACCACATGCTCATGTTCAACAACTGTAACAGATGTGACCATTTGTTGCTTCAAAGAGATAATTTTGGAAAACAGATGAGTTAAAGGGAATTATATTGTATCCAAAATGTGCAACCTGTTTCACAATACTGTTTGCTTAGTGATGTGCAAGATAAGGCCTAGGAAAGTGTCACAGAAGAGTGTACTGCATGTTAACACACATCTGCACATGGAAAATTCCACAACGAAGACAATGGCAACCTTTGGATGAGAAGCAATAAACCACCCTCTTACAGTCCAGACTTAGTTGCCAGTGATTTTCACTTGTTTAAACCACTCAAGAAGCACCTACATGGCAAAAATTCAACATGGATGAACTCAAGCACAGTGTCCTAATTGGCCAGATGGTCCTCCTACAGCTTTCTATGCTGCTGGTAGCACTGCCTTACCATGGGGATGGAAACAATGTGTCAGAGCATAGAAACAAGTTCGAAGCTCCTGACATGTATGATTTTTTGGAAGAAATTAGTGTTCAAGTCTACCTTAAACCTCCCTTGTATAACATGTTGTGCTCACATACCTGCACTAAAACACTATGATGTAAAGAAGCCTCTACTCATTTCAACTGATGCATCTAAAAATGGAATAGGAGCAGTGTCACTACAAGATCGTCAACCAGTAGCTTGTGCATCTAAAGTGATGATAGAGACAGAGACCAACTAGCACAGACAGAAAAAGAATTATTAGCAGTTGAGTTTTCATGTAAGAGGTTTAGTCAAGTAATATAAAATACAAGGGTGGCAGCTGAAATGTATCTTAAGCCACTAATAATAATGTGTAATATATTAGGTTAATGTACAGCAAGGTTCAAAGAATCACTGTCTGCATATACTCCATTAAAAATTTTGTCTTCTTTTAAGTGCTGCAACCATAAGGAAGCCATGACTGACCTGCACAAACATGTATTCTACTTGTAAACATCATGTTTCAAAACAACAAACATGTCTTCCTTTTTATTGCAACCGCATATAATGAATCAGCAGTGTCCAAATGTGATTATCAAGAGATAAAAGAACCTGGATCCCATCTGTTGGAGATACAGATAATTATTCAAAACTCAGCATTAAAGTAGCTAAGTGCTAAGCTTGGCAGAGTCTATTGCAATTGTGAAGAAAGGTATACAAGGTCACGCAAATAAGTTTTGAGACTAATTTTTAAATATATATTCTAAGAGCTGCAGACATTAGCAACCTAGAATTTCTCAAAGTAACCTCCCTCCAATTCTTTACAATGTTTCCAGCACTTCAGTCATTGTTCAAAACATTTTTTAAAATCCTGAAGAGGCATGTCTGTCAAAATTTAATGTCCTCAATGTCCAAGAAATGCTTTCCTTTCAGCACACTCTAGAGATATGGAAACAACTGGAAGCCAGTTTGAGCCAAGTCACAAGAGTGTGGCAGATGATCCATGGCAGAAATGCCCTATTCTGCTAAAAATGGCAACACCAAAGCAAAGAACGTTCCAGTGCATTGTTGTGGTGAAGGATAAATGAGCAATCTCTCCACAAATCTCCTCACTTGCACCTCATGGCATCAAAAGGCTTTTTCAACACCTCCACAAGGAATGTCTGATTAACAATGGCCCTACTGGATAAAAATTCAAAGTGAATGATATCCCTGAGGTCAAAAAAGCAGATCAACATTCTTCTGATATTGTACTTTGACATCCATGGCTTCTTTGATATGGGGATTCACCATAAACTGTCTTTAACATATCAAATGTTTCACTTGGTGATTTCTGCAGTTTAACACAAAAATCCACATTCACTCTCTGTTCCATTGTACACTCCATTTTCATGTCTGGGCAAAGTTGAAGTCATACACTGATCTAACATGCTACTGTTCAACGAGTACTGAACGCAGCTTATCCAGACTTTCCATGCGAGCTCTGTCTTGTTGCATCACCTAATATTAGAAGAAAGAACACTGCCAGATCACCCAGCACAAAATTAAAACTGAATCTCAAAATTCATTTGCCTGATTTTGTATGCCGGGTATGGCACCAAATGTGTTAATATTATATTTCCATCTTCTCCTAGGTTCTCAAGTTCTCGTCTCCTCTATCCATCTTTCTTGATTTGATTACATATCTACTAAAGAGTATAAATTATGAAGCCCCTCATTATGAAATTTTCTTCATCCTTCTGCTACTTCCCCTGTTTCAGGTCCAACTATTATCCTCATTACTTTTTTCTCAATCACCCTCACTTATGTTCTTCCTTCAGGATAACGGACTGACAAAACAACAAGTAGAATTATAGTTTTGTATATTTTCCTCTTCAGGTTTCTACGTAGGAGTTGGAAGGATAGAAAAATCTTATTTAAGTGCCGCTATATATATATACCCTGATTACTTATGTAATTTAATACAAAACAATATGTGCATACATTCATAGCTAACTTGAGCAAGTGATTGCAGTCCTCTGTAAACACTGTACAATCTGGATTGTTAAGCCGGAAAGCATGGGCAGCTGCTTCTTCCTTCTCAACAGCCCAGCAGACTTCTGCCACACCAGATTGATGTAATCCTTCTGATAAACCTGCATACAAATATTAAAACCTATGACTGTTTTATGTCACTAAGTTATATACATTTCCTCTAAAACATTCTTCAGCAAAAATCTGAAATTGTGGTGAAGTGGCAAAATATACCGTAACAGAATAACATGGTGTAACAGAGAAACACATGGAATAGCATATGTTAGAATATTACAGAAGAGTTAGAGGAAAGCACGAAAACAACATAAAATAACTAAGACAAAAAAATACAAACATTAATGAATAAACAAACTGACCTACAACAAAAACACAAAATGGCAAACACCTTCCACAAACACATGCAGAATTTAATCAATATTACATTTGCCAATGATGAAATGCAACTCCTAAAATACAATCTACACTATAAATATAATTCATTCATTCATCAGTGAATGAATTATATTTATAGTGGATAATAGTGGATAAAAACCCTAGCAATCAAAGAGGACACAGCAATAAACCAACTTAATGAAACAGAAGAATAGCAAATAACTTGCAGAAAATTATCAAGAAGCAAAACAAAAAGAAAGAACTTTAAAAATAAAACACAAAATATATGAGAGAAAGCATATCAATAACATTAAAAAAAAAATCAAAATCATCAATAACAATAAAAGCAAACAAAGGAAACATCCTAGACAGCAGTTTTTGAACAGCATTCACATTTCAAAGCTGGTCAAGTGTTAGTTGATGACGAACATTCAAGGCGACCAAGCACTAACAGAATAAAAGAAAATGTTGAAAAAATTCGAGAACTTATCCACAAAGACGTATGTTTGTATTTAAAAACACAAACATACGAACATCTTGCAAAAGCATTAATAAAAAAAAACACACTGCAGATACTTTTAACGAAAGTGGCATTTACCAACTAAAATATAATAACTGACCATTAAAATATGTAGGATAGACAGGCAGAAATTTTTGAACATGCTTTAAGGAACATATCCAAGCAATAAACACTAACAAACTAAGTTCCAAATTTGCACAACACATACAAGACAAACAACACACACACAAAACAGAGAAAACAATGGATATAATCCACACTGAAAAAAAAAGGCCTGTTATTAAATATATTGTAACACGTAAACCCATTGCTAGGCAACGGTTTGTTAAATGCATTCCCACAACGCATGTACATGCAACAATATGGCTTCTATTACTAGGTAACAGCACAGTAAACATGCCTTTGCAACATTTGTGGAAGCGGTGTTTTCTATGTGGTCTGCACCATACATTCTGACATGTGACACATGTTTTCTATGAGGTCCATGCAAGGTGGTGATAAGTGCTTGGCAGGACAGGGGTAGGAGTAGACGGAGTACAGCTTAGTATACGACAGTAGTCAAGAGTAGTCACAAAACTGGCAGCTGCAGAAATGGCAAGAAAGGAATTAGACGGTGCCAAGAAGACTTCACATGTGATTTAAGTTACAGTGAGACTGTGTTAAATCCGTTGCCAGGAAACGGATAGTGAAAACTTTGCAGAGGAATAGCCATTGCTGAGACCCATAACCAAGCAATGAATAGCTAAAGCAGAGTTAGAAGATGTATTGTGAGTTATTGCAAATTGTTGGTGATTAAGAGTAGTTGTAAAAGAAGGCATTAATAAAGAAAATAATCCCATCCAGAACCTGTTATTATTGGTCACGATTCTAAATGTGTGACAATATGGAAATGGTTTTCTATATAGTCTCAATGCACAAAAATTACATATGAACAATACATACACAGATACACATAACCCCATATTCAACCTAATCATAAAACAGCCCACAAAATAATAAATCACTCACCAACTCACCTTCCCCATCAACTAGAAAAGAAAAAAGAAACAGCATACACCTCTCCTCCCATACTATAATACTCCTGACAGAACCTAACAAAACCTCAGCCCATTCCCAACAATACATCTGGTACAACACCACATCAGTAGAAGCACAATAATTACATGGGTCAGCAATGTATATATACACCAAGTAATATATTCATAATTCTGATCTACAGTACATTAACATAACATAAAACCCATTTTCAGAAAACCAGGAAACAGCACCATAAACAAATCTCCACTACACAAAACCTTACTAATGTAGAACAAAAAAGAACACAACCAGTGAGCCTACCTCAGATCAAAAAACCAAGTACACACACATAAAACTACTATAAATATATACAACACAAATACATCCTTATAAAAAATTCTTAATTTTTCAGACGAACTACTAAACAGGAGGACATGAAGCCATCTGCGCCAACAATGTATACTTGCATAACATTAATATTTATACTAAAGGATAAAAAATTCAGAACACTCCATTTCACCCCAAAAAACCCATGTGACCATTAGCACCAACAATGCATACTTGTATAACACCCACATCCCCATAAAGGACAAAAGCTCACCAAAAAACACACACAGATGCACCATTCCATGCATAAAACCCCCTATACATATAATAAAATATTCTTTAGGAAACAACAGTAATTTTAAATAAGCTCTACTAATTTTAAACAAATATTTCAATATATTTAAACACTAATCCATGTAAAAACTTTTAAATGACAAGATTATTAGCAACTGATCCATTGTGACATGCAGTCCAGTAATGAATGTACATGCATTCTGTTCTTTATAAACACCTGATGGTCACATATGATCAAAACATGTAGCAAAAATAACATCTTAATTAACTAACTGATTTTCAACAATTTGAGTATCAATTATTTATAAAAAGTATTAAAATTTGTGATTTACAGACATATTTACATAGTAGTGACATATACAACAGGATGCAAAACATATGAATGAAGATAATCCTTTAAAATTGTTTATTACTGTAAGCAACACAAATAGGATTGGCTGAGCTATGTGATGGAGGATCAATGATAAAGAAACAAATGTTCAATGCAGAGAAAGAAGATTTGAAATTCACAGTGTAATGACTTCCAAGAAGAATGCAACTGAAGGTGAATGTGATGTGCCACACAGTACGGATATTTAGACCTACAGACTTTGCCACACAATTCCTTGGTAAACACTAACATGAAAATTTCTCTTCATAATATTTCAAACAATGAATAATTTTTGTCAAAAATGCAAGTACATTCCCCCATTACACACTGCCACATTGCACTTAACTTTAATCACACATTTGTGCAAATTATGAAAAAGGAGGGGAAAAAAAAGGCAATAGGTAAAGCTATCCTTATAACAGGCCATGAAGGCCAATAGGGTTGTGAGACATCCAGGATCCCTCATTTTCTAAAATGCTGGCTCACAGATGGTGCTGAGGATGTCTGCCTTAAGGCAGGCGTTCATTAGATTGCATCGTACAGATCGGATCAGATGCTAAGTTACATGTAAGTAATTAAATCAAGTGCGCTATCGTTCACTTCATCATATCGCACGCATCACATTGCGGCAAATCCAATAGGGATGGTCGAGAGGACAAGGAATCAAATGCGTGCGATGTGAGAGCATGAGTCACCGGTAATTCCGTTGCAGTGGACAAGGTCTCTTGCATCTGCCCATCGTGTGACAGCTCTTGAAACACTGCACAGGGTGCAGCAGCCAGTTATCTGCAACCAAGCATGGATGACGCCACTCTGATTTCACTAGTACAAAATTATGAAGAAATCTACAATCTTAAACATCCAGACTACGGCAACCAGCAGTGAAGCGACATTTGCTTCTTTTCTTTTCTTTTCTTGTCTTCTTCTTCTATTATGATGAAAGTAACTACCACAGCTTCTGTCTCGCTATCCATCTCGAACTGAACAGGCACAAGTACACCTGTACTGCAGTAATGAATGCACGTGAACACTGCTTAGACTGGCATGGGCCGACTCATCGGCTTGGCGATGCGAGTGAGTGAACGCACTGCACTTATTTCCTATGATAGCTCTGATCCAACCGATGCGATCTAGTGAACGCCTACCTTTACACAGTGGCCACCCTTTACCCCCAAGGAAGATTTCTGGTTCCATTCTCATCACTGTTTCTCAGATAAGCACATGTGTGTGTTCCATTAGTTGGTTCAGTGATCACATTCTTGTTAATTTGAATGCCTCATTTGTGCAGCAATAATAATTTTCTTTATCACACTTTTTATTCACATAGGATTTGAGGTTCTTACAGCAATGATTATGAAGTGTACTGTCTTCTGGGATTACATGATGTCATATCTCAGAAGACACTCTTCCCTTTTTATTCAATTTACAAGAAATTTTTCATTAACATCTGTCCCTGGATCTTATTCACTCAAACTAGCATTCAAATTTCAGGGTAGTAAATGCCAGAAATTATGGCCTTATTAATCTTTATGACTTCTTCCGGCTCGCAAATGAAGGAACACATTTTGAAATTGGAGCACCCTTCAAATGGATATTGATATGACCAGCAGGAGAATGTGGGGCAACATAGGGAACTCTGAATATGAATACCAGGCCTCCAATAGGGCTTAGAATTTAAACCACAGTGAGAACCTGGTATTCATCATACTCCTACAAAATGGCTTTGACACAAAGATCCACAACAAGTTCTGTGACCAACAATGAACTGGGATTCATATCTCAAGATCTCCATACATTAAAGCTCTAATATAATGTAATATTTTTAGCTACATAGTGTAACAGGGTAATAATGCAAACATTCTAGACAGCACTATTCTGTTTCTTATCTAGTCTCTGAAAGTCGACTGTAAAATATATTAACAGAACAACTTGCTCAAAAATTATCTCAGCAAGAAGAGATTTGAAAAGACACAAAGAAGAACTTCTTCATGAGTTCTAAGTAATAACATATAGATAAATATGCCAAGAGTACATACCACCACATCCAGCAAACACATCCAGACACTGCAGCCTTTTGTGAATCTGGGGCCATTCCTCAATTTTAATTTCAGCCTTTCTTTTCTTTTCTGATTCACTCTTAGTTTTCTTTCCTTTCCCTTTCCCTTTCCCCTGAAATAATGCAGAAAATATAACTTCAGTGATGCTGCACATAATCATTAACTTCAATGGGAAAAATTGGCTGAATGAATATAGCAATGTCTGTAAGCTAATCATATGGGTACCAACTCTCACTTCTCACCAGTGACACCTTGTCCAATATCAGGCTGTCCATGTGGGATTTCTGATGAATAAGTGGCAATATGGCAATTCTTTTATCAGAGTATTTTAGTTCTTCCACCCAGTCATCATTCGATCAGTGTTTCACACGTCATGTCCATCACTGTCACGGTGTGATGTAATGGGCCCAGTTATGGTGAGCTAGGCATTGCTGGCTAAGCATAATCCAATCTGTGAAATGGCCTGTAAATGTCTTCCTGCATGCTCTGTGCTTTTCATCTATTCTGCTGTCCCAGAAATTTTGCTTTCTATTCCCTCCCTGCATCTGATGGTCAGACTACCTAACATACTACAGAATGTTGACTGCTCATTCATGGTTTGGAAACTTTGGTGGCTTGGAGCCATTTGTGCCCTGGCTTTTGATGACCCAGCAGCGTGCTCTAATGATCACAGTAGATGCCAGTCTGGATCCTATGGGCAGCTACTTGAATCCACTGATCTGGGATAGGAAGGAACAGTTAACTGTACTAACCACCCTATCCTTCCCTACTTCATATGGTAGATGAGTGTGGCTTCAATCAAGACCTTCGGCTTATGGGGCCATCTGAGGGAAATGGCTGCAAATCCATCTGCGGTAGGAAAAGGTGCAGAAGTATAGGCCAGTCAACCACTATCTCCTTCCAGTCCATTTTCCTTTCCCTTTTTGACTTCTACTTGAGTTCAAAAGCATGTAAATAAATCAGTGACAAGTTTTACTACACAGAACTCAATGATTATGTAATAAAGAAGCAAACAAAATACAAAACAATAGTGAGGCCATAACATATGCAAGAGGCCCTTGTATAATCTTAGTTCACTTGCATACTCAAGCCCACAGGGCTAAGGCCTATCACAGATTGTTAAACAAAACTAGAAAACAATCAGACTGAGAGGTAGGGCTAGTCAAAAACAAAATACCAACCAGGTCAGATGCCACAGATGACAAGGACAGACAAATTGCTGACAGAGAAATTTAAAATCAACATGACTTAACAAACTCTGATACACATCACTCACCTCATGGCCCCACACCACAGAGGATTTGATCAGCCATGTCTAGGTTCATGACCAGGAGTTACTGTAGTCATTAGAGAAGGCTGTTCTATCTTCAAAAGCCAAGGCATGAATGGTTTCAACTCAAAAGCTCCAAATAATGAATACTATCCAAGACACCAAGGCCTCCAAAGCATAAAAAGAGTTCAAGCCATGCAGGCCCTTAACCCTTTCACTGTTAGTATTTTCAGTAACTCTCAGTACCCTCTGTGCTGAATTATTTTTTAATAAATCTTTTATAAACAATTTATGTGCAAAGTAGGAAAATTGGTGATAAAATGTAACTAATCTTACCTCAGACAGGGAACAAACAGAAGAAGTTGCAAAAATGTTGAATTATTCAGTATTTTTCACAGGGGAATAGCCCATTTAAATCAGGGTTGTCCAAGATGGCCAAAAATGTACATAATTCACTATCCTAGTCTCATCACTATGTCATATGTTGACCAAAGTCCACAACTTTATTTAAAACTATTATAGAAAGCACTGCGCACTATACAAAGCCATTTTTACTAGCCCTGTGAAATACCCACATCACATGACCACGGAGCCCGTGCCTTGCTGTACAGATGCAACCTTTTACTTTTCTTAAGCTAGAGGGCAGAAGAATGCAGTCATTGAACTGAATGATGCTTCATTATGTTCCCAATACATGACTCTATGCACCCTCCAAGTTTGAATGAGATTGGTGCAAAGAAACCCGAGATTTGAAACTCTAAAGTCGCAATACAGGTTTTGTCAATCGTAGCAAGGACGCCACGTTTTCCAGAGATCGACATATGTTGACCGCAGCAGTGTAAGGGTTAGTCATAAATTAGTCCAAGCCACAAATGAATATCCAGTGCTCTTCAGTGCATTGGCTATTCTGCCCAGAAAGTACAGGATGCGGATAGGTCTTCTGTATCACATGATACAGGTCCAATCTCAAGGTCTTCTGAGGGCAAATGATATGAGAAGTAAAATGAAAGAAATTTAAAAAATTAAAAAGTAACATTCCAGTGTTAAGCAATATATTGTCACATGTATTAGTGACTAAAGACAGGGTTTAGATCAGTGAATAGATAACACCTTATACAATCAACACGGACTTACAAGCAATACAGTGTTATCAATGACTTACGTAATTCAGAGTTCATTGTTACACATCTACTAGGATTCTCAGTCTTCACTACTTGTACCCTAGTAACAAAATTAAGTCTCACTGTGACTAAATCTTCTAATCACATACTGTCTTCATAGGCTGACTTCTAATTCTTCTTCAAATAGTAACTTCCTGTGGCTATCTGCTACCGACAACTGAACTGAACTCCCATTCCCGTATCCTCTTATATGTAGTCATGGCATGGACACCCAGTACAGAAAACACAGCTTTGGTGTGGACCTATAGAAAGAATCTGCCTGCATCACTTCTACTATTCTGACATCACCGCACACTCCATAGGAATGGTTGTACATGTCATGTATTGTGACATTTCCTCCATTGTTCCGCACAAGCATCACCTTGCAATGGCTGATGTTCAGTCACCTCCCACCAATAGTTCTATACACCACAATATCATGAAGTCATGGACAGGAGGTAGAGTTCCACAAACATTTCTAAACTTTGTACTACATAGTGGTGAGTGCATCACCTTAATACTTGGAGGAAACATAAAAATGAAGATAAAATTCACCTAAAACATTTGAGGAAAAGGCAATTTTACTGTATTTCTATGCAAAAGATTTAGAAAGTATGTTGGAAATTCCTGAAAGGAAGCGGGGGATGTGAGAAATTGTACAATTCAAAGCAAGAATGTTTATAAGGAAAACGAAATCCACTACATACATTTCTGTTGTCTGATGCAAACTACACACTATTTCATACTCTCTTACCTTGCCTTGCATGCCAATACTTGTAGCATGAAATGGTGGCTCCTCAAATGTCTGCTTTATGATGTTATACGCCTGAGAGAAATAAAACCTGTTTGGGCCACGGCTTGTCCATTCAGTCATTGATATATCCAGATTCTCACTGAATACAACATGGCACTTGCCTGCCACCTTACCAAAGTTCACCACACATTCTGCAGGCAAAGCAAACTGTAGTACTAACATGACATCCTACTGGTACAAAAGTAAAATGCTAAATAACATTTTTACAACTCTGCAGTGTAACACAACAAATCACTTACAAACAGATTTAACAGAAATGAATAATTTTTAAACTCTATGGAGCTGAGCCCTTCTTGAGAAGCCACAAGTCATAATGCTACTCAGCAATTTCCCTAAGTTTTATGGAACCTGAAGATTCATTATCCCATTCTCAAGAGCCCTCCACTGGTCCCTATCCTGAGCCAAATTGATCCACTCCATACAACCCCATTATATCTTCTAAGATCCATTTTAATATTATCGACCCACCTACATCTTTGTTTTCTTAGTAGTCTCTTTCCTTCTGACTTTTCCACCAATATCACATATGCAATCCTCTTCCTGCCCATCTCATTCTCCTTAACTTCATCATTCTAATACATTTGGTGAAGAGTACAAGTTATGAAGATCCTCATTATGCAGTTTTCTCCTAGTTCCTGTCACTTCAACTCTCTTCAGGCCATACATTCTCCTCAGCACCTTGTTCTCAAACACTCTCAACCTATGTTCCTCCCTTAACGTCACAGATCAAGTTTCACACCGATACAGAACCACGGGCAAAATTATAGTTTTGTATTTTTTAATTTTTATGTATTTAGACAGCAGACAAGAAAAGAGGTTGTGAACTGACTGGTAGCAAGCATTACCCAAGTTCAGTCTCCTCTTAATTTCCTCCTGAATCAGGTTTTAATTTGTTATAGTTGTTCCCAAATATCTGAACTGTGCCACATTTTCAAAATGTCTGTCAGTTATCTTTATGTCATGATTTTGCACTGAATTCTGGTGATGAGACAGCAACATATACTTAGTTTTCTCTGTGTTTACTTCTAGACAAACCTCCTTTCTAATCCATAATGTGTATATATTTACCGTCTTTTAGTGCATACAATTTCACTTGTCACTTCACTTTCTAATGTCAATTAAAGTTTCTGTGTTATCAGCTAGTAGATTTACATCATCAGCATAGACCAGCAGCTGATGAATCCCATTTAATTTCAGTCCCACCTGGTTTTCCTGGACCTTTGTAATGGCATATTCTAAATCAAAGTTGAAAAGCAGTGGCAATAAAGCATCTCCTTGTTTTAGACCATTTTGGATAGGAAAATTATCAGACAAATATTTACCTATATAGACTTTACTATATGGAGATCGAGAAGTCACACACATCACACTTAGCAATTATATTTTGCTGGTTTAATACACAAACTACTATACATACAGCACTTACTATTAATGTTTATAACCTTACATCTTAGAAATGCAAAATCAAATTATGTCTTTACAGCATATGCTTGAAATGGCTTCCTTGTTCAGCAATGCATGCGTGAGCTCTTTTTACCATGCTTCAGGCCACTTTGTGGAGCACCTGTAAATTGATGCTGATAATCGCTGTCGTAATGTTCCTCTTGAGGTCATCCGGTGTATGCGGATTGTTTTTATAGACAATTCCTTTGAGGTACCCCCAAAAGAAAAAAATCTGCGGGTGACAAATCGGGTGAATGCAGGGGCTACAATCTTCTCGAAATGAGATGGTCACCGAAAAACTCGCACAAGAACTGCATGCTTTTATTAGAGTTGCGACATGTGGCACCATCTGGCTGCAACCAACAGTCACGTTCATCAACTTCAAGAAGCACAATAAACTGTGTAATGATGTCTTGGTACAATGGACTGTTCGCTGTTATTTCAAAGAAAATTGGGCCCACTATTCAACGACATGATACAGCACAGCACACTCCAATTTTCTGACAGTGCAAGGACTTTTCATGTAACACATGTGGATTTTCAGATGACCAAATCCTATTGTTTTGACTGTTCACGTAGCCACTAAGGTGAAACCATGCTTTGTCAGTGAAGAAAACCCAATCAAACTCTTCAATTCCATGGTTGCCAACAAATGTCCAAAACCATCTATAGCACACTACACATTTTTCTTTATCCAGGTCCTTCAGTTCCTGCACACAGCAAACACGATATGCACTAAGGTGTAACTTCATCGCTTTCTGAGCACTTCCGTACGAAATCCCTGATTGCACTGATAGTCTCCTCAGGCTTTTTGAAGGGGAATGCTGCAACGTTTTCTCCATGTCAGCCAATTTAGCCTCAGTCAAAATGGCTGGTCTCCCGAATCTCTTCCTATCTGAAACTGATCCACATTCCCGAAATCGGTTCATTATTCTCGTTATCGTCGAATTGTTGGGAACTGCAGAATCCGGATATTCCCGATGAAACTCGTCTGCAACACGTGCATAGAACAACTGGCGAAATAATGTTCCACAACGAAAACTCGTTCTCAGGAAAACGACATGTGTCATGCAATAAACAAAGTCATACTGCAGATGTCATATGACTGATACATGAAAGATGGCATTTCTACTCGTTAGTATTCCTACAGTACCATCCAGCAGTAGGAGATATAATTATATTAACTGCAATACAATTTATAACAACTTTTAAGTTTTATGTGCGTGACTTTTTGATCTCCTTGTATTATATGTTTTGTTAAAACACATTTTAATCAGCCTAACTAGTTTCATGGGTACCCAAAATTGTGTGAGAACACTGAGAATTAAGAAGCTGACCACATTCATAACACGTATTCATATAAGATCTAAAAGTTTGTGACAATGGTACATTAGTAAAAATATTATGTTTCTGGGCATTATCCATCGTCCTATCTCTATCTCAAAACACCGTCCTGTTTACAGTACAAAACAAAATGTTTCGAAGACTGGATTCTGTCTCTGTCTACACATAAAACCTACTAAGTTGGATCAAATCGACATAGCTAGTCTTCGGATACCTGTACCTGTACCAAGATGGACTATACAAGCCAAGCATAGCACAAGCCATCTGCAAGAGCTAAGAAAACATTAAATTATTAAAACCTCTACACATATCAGGCCTTGCACCAGAGAACTCATATCTTAATAATTTAATGTTTTCTTAGCTCTCGCAGAAGGTTTGTGCTGTGCTTGGCTTGTATACCCCATCTTGGTGCCAGTATAGTGTCCAGAGATAGGGACTAGCTCTATCGATTTGGCCCAACTGAATAGGTTTCACCTGAAGACAGAGACAGAACCCAGTTTCCGAAACGTTGGGTTTTGTAATATAAACAACACAGTATTTTCAGATAAAAACAAGACAAAGATAATGTCCAGAAACATTATATTTGTATTAATGTATTCAAATATTTAGTATCCTTAACACGTTTCTTGTAATAACTGCAAGTCAATTCAATACACTCCTGCAGCAGTTAGAACAATAAAACAACTCTATAGATCTCGTGGTCCATTAACTTTTAACGTCTGAATGCCACATATATAGGTCGCAAGCAACAACCGGAGTTGGCCAAATGGCCTGTATATATGCCGCAGGACACATGCTCTCTTTGGGAGTGCTGACAGTTTGACCTTGGGTTTGAAACCAAAACAAACCTACGTGAGGTCATGTCAGTGGTTCATTCCTTAACTCTGAACAAAGAAATTGTTTATCACGGTACTGGTTTCGATACTATTTATGTTTAGATATGACTCTTTATGACCTGCTCAGCCAAATATAGCCCAGCTTTGTTTCGAGAACTGATGAGGAAATATTTATCGGTGCTTGCATGTGAGCGCTTCCAGACCCTTCCAGGAAGTCTGATGCATTCAAGGATTGGTTTTCAGTGGCGAATTATCAGTCAGGAAGTCAGTGTCGGATTGTCTAATATTTCTTTATCAGTCAGGAAGTCAGTGTCAGACTGTCATATATTTCTTTATATATCATTTTTATTTTGCGTCTTGAAAGAGGTATAAGCCCACTGAGCCAGTATTACTTTGTAAGTAAAAGGCATCTTCGCCACTGCGACTTTCAGTATGTGTTGGACTGGCACTCTTTTTCGACTAGTATTATAATTACTTTGCATCACTATTTTGCGAATATTACCAGCAGGTGAGAGCGTCACTTTGTCAATCAACATAATTTATTCGATTCTGCTAGAAACACCCCTCCCCAAAGATGAGTCTTCAATCGCACAAGCCGAATATCACGGTCAATGGCGTTTCTCGGGGAAGGCCAAAGTTATCAGGGGGCCCAAATGAGTTGACTGGAGGTGAAACATTCACAACACTGGTCAACCAAAGGGAAACAAAGACGTTGTCGTGTTTCGCCAAATAAGAAAAGCAGGAGCACACTCTTCTATTGTAAAAAGTGTGATTTTGCTCTGTGTGGACTGCTTCGAGAAGTGTCATGCGTGTCAGTGTGACTATCATAGTGAAGTGACTGTGAAGTGACGTAGTTCAAACTCGCATACAGTAATATTATTGTATACAGATTGATTATATTTACAATATCACCAAGTCTCAAAGCTGAATATCACAAGGCGAATATCACGGTCAGTGGTGTTTCTCGGGGGAGACAAAGGTTACCTGGGGCCCAACTGAGTCGACTGGGGGTGAAACATTCACAACAAACCAAGGGAAACAAGACGTCGTATTTGTTCTCAAAATAAGAAGCACAGAAGGATGCTCTACTACTGTAAAAAGTGTGACGTTGCGCTATGCGTGTTCGGCTACTTCGAGATGTGGGTTGCGCTATGCGTGTTGGGCTCCTTCGAGAAGTAGTACACGCGCATCAGAGTGTGAATTATTGTAAACTGTGAAGTGACACAGTTCAAACTCGCATACAGTCTGAACAAAATATTATTGTACGAGTATATAGTGTGATTATATTTACAATATCACCATGATTCAAGATGAAGAAAAAACAACGGGTAAGTCCTTTGGAATTCCATAACATATATAATAAAGATTATATTTTGCAATTCATGACAAAATAGTCAAAGTTAATTTTCGTTTGTAAAAATTGCTCTTATGTGTACATGTAGAAAAATTTATTGTCCTTCAGGTTGTTTTCAGTTTTTATTTCTATGTTGCATAGAACAGAAAATATGGATTTTTTTCTGACAGTTTGCAATGTTAATTAATCAGGGTGATTTAAATATCAGCCGCAGAGGGCTCCCGACAATTTAAAAGTCCATACGTTAAAGGTTAAGCACTGACAGTAATATCAAACAGGGTTTACACATGATTATTTTGTTCATGGATCCATAAATTCACCCTCCTGTACACCTTCACAAGGTAGTGCTTAATTAGTTAAGCACAAGAACAAAAATTACACTTTTATCTTTAAGATTATTTTGTTTGTACTGCCAATCTCTAAAAAAATGGACACCAGATCAGAATGCATTTTGTGTGCATACAGCAAAATGTACTCATAAGTACTTGCCTTCCTCACTCCAGTACAACATGTTTAGATCCACCTGCTGACTCAAAGAAGGTCCTCTGTGTGTGTTCTCTGGGCGATAAAATTTGTTGACACGGATCCAGATATCGCAAGAAGCAATGAGATCATCATTGGTTTTTGTAAAGATTGTTTTGATGTGACCAACGCAGAATGGTTCAGGTGTCTCCATGTTTGATCCCTTTACATGGTCTGATGATTTACGATAGAACTCTGGATAAACATCTTCATCCACCTAACAAGAAATCACAAATAAGAATCTTGGAAAATATGAATGTCAGAATAGATTAACACTTTGCAGACCGGAGATTTAAATATTTAAATCACCCTGGGGACTGGCATTTTTATACCTACTACCCTAACTTGTGCATTTTTCACTTTAAAATTAATATAAAATCCCCCAATTAATTTTATGAACTAAAATTTTTGGAGAACACTTACCATTGCTCCCAGAAGTGCTTGAGAGTGTGATATTTCTGGAAACATTCCCCTTTGTGAAGTGGCATTATACACTTGCAAATGTAGACAGTCATAGTCCTTTTTTTGTGAACTGCGCAAACACATCATTGCCTAGAAGGATGCTTTCCATTGGAATGTTAACTCTTCACAATTTTCACGAAGGTATGTTTCCACATATCAGCCGAGAGTCACCCAGGGGTGTCCACATGAGGCCTGCGTGGGGTGGGATTAGACAGGCCGTCATACTAACACTGAGTCTGCCGCCGGTTCTGCCACCACCGTGTGGACTGTAGCCCAGGCTTTTGTCACATTCAGCAGAAATGCCTTGTATTTCATATTTGAATGAGCGTTTAGATTTTTGAAAACCAAAAATGAATTGAAAATAGCACAATTTATAAGCCACAAGGCAACTTTCTTTGTCCACTTTACTGTTTGCAGAAGAAGAGAATAATAGGCCAAGTACTGATCGGCTCTATCAACTCCCTTCATGAACATATTATACTCGGAAATACAAACAGGCTTCTTTACCTGTCCATGTCTCCTTTGAACATCAACCATGCTCAAAATGTGAATTGTGGAAATCATATTCACAACATGTGTATCCCTCCAGCAGAGAAGAATATCCCCCTTCCTCCTGAATGTGGTTTCACCACGTTTAAGGGATTTACATTCGTCTTTCAGATCTGTACGAAGGCCTCTGTTCACCCTAATTGTTCCACAAACAAGTGTAGGTGTTCTGCAGTTGTCACACTGTTATAATAATTGTCTTGATAGACATGGTAATTTTGATCAAGATAGGGTTCCGAAATGGAAAGAATAGTTTCTTGTAATTTCTTTCCATCACCAGAATAAATTCTAAATTTCCAATATAGCCTGAAGTGCTTTCAGTAACTACACAAACAAGCAGGCCATATTTTGTAAGTTTCCCAGGATTATATGTTCACATAGTGCACTACTCACTGACAGCATGCTATGTACAGCTTGAAGAAATAAAGGCATTAATTTTCCTTTGCAGGGGCATACAGTTACAGCGAGGTCAAGTAACTGATTAGTCAGCAAACATTCCAGAGGCTTATCACGCACCTGCAGGCAGCTACAAGCAAGCTGGGTGGCGTCAGAGCAATGTATGGTGTGTTGCAATTTATCATATTCTAAGAACGTATTGTAACGTGTTTCGTTACTGAAGACGCCGTAGAGATGGTTAATTGGTTTATTTAACGATCTACAAGTAACGGCTACAATTACTTATCACACAGTTGCGGGGTTTCATACTTTATAACCCTAATCGCATTAATCTGTTACCACTGTTGCGGGGTTTCATGACTTCTAACCCTATGCGCAAATCAGTTCACTCTGTCTTCAGTAGTCTACACGTTTACAGTAGGGGAGCTTTGTATCACTGTATCACACGCTCCCAATTACACAATCACACACACGTCCGGTTCTTCTTTCCGCGACCGCTGCTATACTCCAACTGTAGTCGGCTGACTGGAGAACTGTTGATAACACACTCGCTCGATTACTACTGAACTTGGCGACTGCTGCTATATGTCAACTCGACTCGGCGACTGTTACGTTACAACTAACTCGTAGCTGCTGTGCAGTTCCCTTATATAGCCGCAGTGGTTGCCTGTTGCGTAATGAGTGCCACGTCATCTTGTTACGTCACCGCTGTTGACTCGCGTTGCTTAGCTACCAGGTTGCGGGGACTCGGCTAACTTCGGCTCCGCTCGACACGTCACCGCGGGGAGAGTGGCGGGGTGGACTCACCTATTACGAGAGTGCTATGTTACCGCCACGTGTCGCTGGGGAGGTAGGGGTCCTCCGTTGCACAACATGTCACAGTATTAATACGTGACTGGTCCACCACGTTTAAAAGCGAAAAATGTATTAATGTGTGCACGGTCCGCGAAGTGTTAAAATTCATATTTGAAAACAGATTTTTTAGCTTGACTTAAAAGTTAAAACAAGCACAAAAAGTAACTCCCTTTGCAACCACTCACAAGTTCAAAAGGATTACTATGCATACCAAAAAATAGTTAATGTGAAACCCCATTAATAGCTAGTTTGCCATTTGAAAGTAGTGTAGTAGTAAGACAATTTTTTGGAGATAATGAATGGTGCAAAATGAAACACAGACTATAAACCAACTATATTCAGAAAAAAAGGAAAAAAAAATACTGCCCAGACCTCCAAAGGCGGCAATCTACCCAATATCCCATTGGTAGAAGGAGCAGAAAGCTGCAAACCCTAGCGGTTTAAGATTTTAAGTATTAAGAATTCTATTAACACTTTAACTCAACCCATTTTAGCTTAATTTAAAATCTTTGGAAAACTTTGAACTTGATGTACTATGATTTATATAATAGTAGTTTCCTAAAGTCTTATTTGCCTTCTGAAGATGGTCACTGACCAAAACATGTAAAGGCATCATATGTATATAAATATACTTTTGAGTCACAATGGATGGTGTAATCAAATCATTCCATAGTGTAGACAGATTAATTAACTCCATGGAGCAGGGTCATTCTTAAGAAGCAGCCAAAAAAACTTGTCTGTTATGAACTTGAAAAGTTCTTTACTGTGATTGTCATTAGAGCCAATTCTGAGCCAAATGAGACATCCACACATTGCGAAGTGCAGCTGCTTTGCAAATAGGACTAACCAAGCACTAACCAAAAACCACCCCTACAAGATGGCAGCTTTCTTTATTGTTTCCTGTGACACAATTAATATTTTCCAGCACTGTTAAATGTATGTTTATGCAGATCTAGAATGAGGGAAATGCACATGCATTGAAAATGAATTACAGACTGAGAGCTGAAGAAAAAAGAAACAAAAGGCTTTTTCTGAATGGTTAAAAAATAATGTACCTAATTACTGTGACATAACCACCTAATCATTGCCCAATGCATGGTAACAACTGCATAAACATAGAAAAACCTAGCCCTTCACTAGGCAACAATTGCTACAACAGTTAGAGACGGTCTTAGAAGTGGTGCTCTGGTAAAGTCCAAGCCAATGTTATATAAGGAGAGAATTAGTTGCAGCAGAGAATAGAGAGTTTGAGTTGCTGTCATGGATTAGTTGTGGGCCAGTTGCCATCCAACAAAAACATGCCTACAGAAGCTGAGGAATCTACATTGTTGGAGACGTTACCCAGCAACAGCTAGTGAAGACATAGAAGCTTTAATGTTTGTAGTAGTAATCTATAGTGTGTGTAGATCTTTGACTCTGTTATAGAAACCTGTAGCTACAAGTTATGTGAGTCCAGTAAAGCAAATTATCAATTCAAACCACATGTCTAGTCACTAAAACATGACAGTATGTACTACATCTGCCAGTCTGTCCAGACAAAGGCTGGGAGAATACTTTGAAACAAACTATCACCGCTCCCTTGCTCATCCTTTCCATTCATCACTTATAATCACTATATCATCTTACCGATGCTACATAATAACAATGGTTGATAAGCATCATAAAGTAAACCCAGCATTATATTTACATCTGTTCAAATATGTGTTTTTATATGATCTTCCATAGTTATGGTATGAAGGAAACCGAATTTTCTTTGTCATATCATTTTCATTTCCACGACTTTCACATTTTCCTCAATTTTAGATTTATTTTAGGTGGCCCCTTAAATGCAAAATCAAGGTTTTGCTGTAATCCTAATTACAGCTGTGAAACAGAACTACTTAGACTTAAATACAGAGCATGAAGTAACTTTTCTCTATGAGGTCAGCAGCTCATAAAGAACAAATTAAGATGGTAATCTGCCATGATTTCTTCAACTTCATTCATCATTATGAAGAACACAGACAAAATAGTAGTTCTTTTTTTTTTCTATTTGACAGAAGACCGCTAGCAGAACAAGAAGATTCAGAATTCAAGTTTCAACTGGTAGTGAAGAAAGATCATCTGCCATGCTGGTTGTTGAACCAATGACCAAAGCAACAGCCATTCATTTTATGGCACAGTCAAAGATCAGAACATTCTAGCTTCAAGCATGGTTTCATCATTTCAAAACAAGAAAAGACAGCAGCAAACACAGGGTACCAGGTGAAAGATGTGGGTTTTCGAAGTTATATAAATACAAGAAAATCTTTACATCTTCTCAGTTCATAAATGGCAAAGCTAGCAGCCAGGAGACAGACTTCAAGATAATATATTCCAACTATTTTCAGATATTACGAGTACCCTTTTGAATGAGTATCTTTACAAATTTTATAAATTGTCATATTGAGGATTCACTCCATTTACAGTATTTCTACTTAAAATATACACACTTTACTTAGATACATGCAAAAGATGCATTCCACAAATAACGCAGTGAACAAACAAAGCAATGTTAAAATGGATATGCTACAATGGAGTTAGATATCCTGCTAACAGGTTTGCCACAATTCTAATTTTGGTGAACAGAATCATTCATAGTTTTACCAACACAGTGACAAAGCACAATGTCCAAGAAGACAGTAACCATTGGTAAATTTGGAACGTATGGCTGATAAAATTATATTAACCTTCTTATCCCTGTCCTTGTCCTTTCGGATTACAGCCACTGGGGCTAAATTCTTGAACTTGAATGATCCAGGTTGTATGAACACTGAAGAACCAACACGATACTCTTCTCCCATCATTCGTACGACACCAAAGAGTACCTGAACATAAATGACACACAATAAAAAGTTCAGTTGATGTAAAATAATTTATGCAATGGCTAAACAGACTAACATCAGCAATGTTGTACAGCAGCATTCCAAAGTATATCACTTATTTTCACTTCTTATTCACTGTCTCATTTAACACAAGTCTGCATATGAGATGCTGAATAAGAAGTGAAAATAGAATTAGCAGTTTTGACTAAATAAACGCTTTTATATAATGTATGCCAAATAAATACATACCTGAAATCCCTGATATTCATATTATGATCTCTATTTTGTAAGAAACTAACTACATCTACACAATATTTCATCATGACTGGTTGAGATACCATACTTCATCACTGGTAGTGGGTGAGTCTGTAGATTACAATACAGATGGTAAGCGGTAAGCTAAGTGTTGTATAGCTCAACGCAGGATCTTGATCCTTGCAGGAATCTGACATTCATGAAGCTCTATGTTAGTAGGAAGGCAGGGTAAAAGTATGTAGAAAACTTTGCATTCAATCCAGCTGGTCTCCAACATATGGTATTTGGCATCTTTCTTAAATCTCAAACTACAAGTTTAAGAAAAAGGAAAATGATGTAGATCAAGGATCAGATATCTGAAAGAAGTTCCTCTGCTGTGTAAAGAAAAGGGGAGGTTTTCATATCCAGACTCATATGATGAATAACAGTGTTACCACTAAATCAATACAAATGACCTCTTTATGAGTTAATGGAATATTACCTCCTGATTTTCATTTGTAATCCCTAATCTTTCATCAATGATTGGTCTCTGGTATTTTTGCTCAAGATACAACCGCTCACATGATGCACAGAACCTGGAAGAAAAACATTAAGTAAAGACAGAGGACCACTTATTGGAAATTAGGAATCCTCATGGAGGGTTTCCATAATTTGGGATTCATATTCATGACCATTTGGTTAGGTTCAAAACCCTAAGAATACTGGATATACATATGATGGGCAACACTGGAAGGACAACAGTGCAACAATATCATAAATTCAAAATCATAGGAATAACTGTCAGAACTCAACATGGTTTACATCTTAAATTTTATCAATGGCAGAACTATGCAGTGGTACCTAGAAAAATAATATTTATATTTAATATTAACCTGTATTTGAGCTCTTCTTTCAGACAAGGTGGATCTGCAGCCAAGTCTTCAAATCGGGCATGTATCCAGTTGTATCTGAAAAAGTGAAGTTAAAAAGGTTGTGTACACATTTTTGGTTGTTGCAGCTTACCAATAACACTATCCAAATAACTATTCCCCAAGACGGAAATAAAAATACTGTAGCAATATAATGAATACTGGATAGAGTAATGACATATATACATTTTAATCATTTTATAAAGGAGACATGATGGCATACAGTGCAATGGTTTGACGTAAATAAAACCACACCTGAAGATGGCACATTAGTGCCAAAACATGTAGTGAAGAGAAAAGTGAAATTGTGTGCGCTGTAAGACGGTTGGTGCAAATACACATCATGAACGAGTAATGTCTCTGTCGGGTACTGGTATTCTACTTGAAATTCTTTGCACCACAAAAATTTGGTAATCATAGGTTAATGAAGGATTTGAAGTTCTCACAGTGGTGGTTATGAAGAGTTCTATCTTCTGGGATATAACACTATGTAGTCCATTGAAAGTCGACTAATGATCCTTCAAAACATCGGATGACTTTCAATGGACTACACAGTGTTATATCCCAGAAGATAGAACTCTTCATCATATTGTGGAATATTTGCTCGAAGCAAAAAACGTGGAGCCAGAAGAAACGTACATTGCTGGCAACAGCACAGTAACAACATTTGACTCAGTGTTTTCTATGCAGTCCACACTACATTTCCACAGCAAAAGGGATGTACACAATAGAGGAACTGTTCAAAGTGATATTTTCTATATGGTCTATGCCAAGGCTACATAAGAAGTCCATTTTGTGTCGTTTGTTCAGCCTAGGAGCTACCAGCTGAAGCTAACGGTCAGAGTATGAGGCTGGCGTAAGATGTCAGCCAGACTATATGGACATGAGCTCAGAGTCAAATGAATGTCTGCTGTTGGAAACAGGTGCCAAGCAACATGACAGGACACTAGTCTGTGTGCGACAGTGATCTGTGAAGTGTAGCCATGATCTGTAAAACTGTCTAGTAAATCCAGTTATTAATCCAAAATCCATCTATAGTCACCTAACATGTGACAATATTGTACCAGATGAAGAATAGTCGCTTCAAGAAGAGTAGCCGAAACAACAGATGCTGCAAGAACAGCCACCGAGGAAAAGGAACGGGGNAGCCGAAGATAGCCGAGCCCCGTAACCGGGTAACTATGCAAGGCGAATCAACAGCGGTGACGTAACCGGACAGCGTGGCTAGCAACAAGGGTGCCTATTACGTGGCCGTATTGTCCGATCGAGGCTACATAGGGAGAAGCGAAGGCTATTCACAGTCAGTTGTACTGTAACAGTCGCCGAGTAGAGTTGTACTGAGTCAGTCAGTGAGTCCTGGAGCTACCGCCGAGTTAGCCAGCAACTAGTCAGTTGTATTCTGGCATTTGGAGTGTACTAATTGTGATACTGCAGATAGCAGTAATCGTAAATCTGTAATTTGGGTGATTGTAAGTGCGAATGTGAAATAAAATTCGCTACATCGAATACATCGAGAATTTATTTGTCGCGATATACGCCCGATACGCGACAACTGGTGTCAGAAGTGGGATCAGTAACGCAAAACACGTTACACTGGTGTCAGAAGTGGGATCAGTGACGCAAAACACGTTACACTGGTGTCAGAAGTGGGAAGTTTATGTTAGAGGTGGGGGGGGACTGCAATTAGAAAAATACAGGACATAGAATATCATTAAATGAGATATAGGTACACTTATAACTAAGTCCTGCCAACTTGCAGCATATCACACGAGTAAGATAGAGTGGGGCAAGTGCATGGTAAAATCTGGATAGTTCCATTTTAAACTACTCTAGCTAATTGCAAACAGGTTATAAAATACAGAATAACTAGGGTTTTGGATTTTCTCCATCATCCAGAATTCTAGGTAATAGAGGACACTCTAGATAACAGAGAACACAGCGTTTCGGAAACTGGATCTGTTTCCGTCTTCAGATGAGAAAGGTAGACAACTACTCAGTTGGGCCCCTTAGAAATAGCTAATCTCAATCACTAGACAACTCCTGTCAGATTTACCCCACTACAGTATGTGCCAAAATATGCAGTACTGAAACTCGCACATGTGCATTTGTCAACGGGGCATAGCTCCAGCTGCACGTGTTTCCAGTAGTGAAAAGGAAGTTGTGTTGTGCAGTTGTTGGGAATGGGTCTCTCGACGGAGGAGAAAGTATTCATAGTTGAATATTATTTCCGCTCACATGGAAGTGGTTGCCAGACAACTCGCTTCCTTGGTTTTGAGTGGCCAGATGTTACTGTCCAGAAACCGCTACACAGTATACATGTAACAATATGGGGTGCTGTCTCAGCACACGGCATATTAGGGCCCTATTTCATTGGGGAAGGCTCTTACCGTCACCCAAGAACACTACAGGGACAGATGATCATGATCCAGCCATTTCTTCATGATTTGAGAAAGTTCTGACATCCAAGGTGCTTTAAGCAGTGGTATCAACAAAACATCTTTTTCATTTCAGTACTGTACATTTTGGCACATACTGTATTTCAACATATAGGACTAGGCTAGTTCAGTGGGCAATAACAAGAAACCATAAAGTAAAAACTGTGGTAGACCATGCACATGCATGGAACTAGGATAAAATGGAGGTAGAATTTGTGTTAGAAACTTAGCTGACAAAAACCAAGTGCATGAGCACCAATGCAAAGAAATGGGAAAAAATTGTGAAGACATGTAATATCTACCACTAGTGCCAGCTGCTGAGTAACCTGAACACTTGAGACTAGAACCTTGTGGAAATGCATGAAGAGTTTGTCACGTCATACAGATCTCTGTGAGTTAGAAACCTCATTGTTGATCAGGGGTATCCAGACAGGAGAAATGTCCAACCTGGGTTGGCTGATTAGATTGGTTAAGCATCTCATATGGGCCGATTCCTTAATATCCTATACCTGTTGTTGCTTTCAATTTCCAAAATCCTGACATCGTACCAGCCTACTCTGTGACTCTCTTCATAGGCATGTTGGGCTAATTTTGATTTTTCTAGAAGACCCTGTTGGAGATTGTGCCTATGTTCATGGATTTTTGTTCAACAACTTGACATCTGTTAAAATTCTGAAGGCAAGCCAGAATGCGGAAAAATTATTTATGTACTCTTCATGACAAATCCAAAGAAAGTGAGGGTGTGTAATACCTGTTTTCTTTTTATTTAAATTGTTCCTCTCATGTGACAAAGTGTATAAAATAAAGAATTTCTATGAACTATAAGTCACACCAGAATTACAAACATTTTTCTAAAACTCAGTACAGTGTGTTTATGGCTACTGCTACAAAAATACTCTTTATTTATAAACTTATCTTGAAGCATACATATAACCACAATTTCTTATAGATCAATATTTTTAAGCAAAAGAGACAAGCAATTCTTCTATTGTTGCATGTTTATTTGTTGCCATGGGACAGTGTTTACCAAGCTGCTGCCTGGCAATGATGGGGAGGGGGTCAGGGGGGATACACAGACACCAAGGTGATCTCACAAGCCCACTTTTATTGTTTCAAAATAGAGAAAGTAGGCAAAAAATAATATGTCATACTGTTTGAAAGCACTTCCCATACTGGAGTAAGTGCTTGACCTGCTCAGGGTGATTGTATCATGATCACACACTTCCCATAGTAGTAAAAATTCAAGGGGCAAGTCAGTTATCCATCAAAAACAAGGAAAAAACTAATAAAACATAATAATTTACACTCACATGAGTAAAGTGTGCTAATACAAAGAGGGAAACTTCACAAGGTCAAAATCCAGCAAATGAGCAACAGCGCACTGCACCTCTCTGAAGGTTGATGTGGAAGACTGAACTAACAGCTGGTTTAGCCTCACTCACCATCATGAAGTCATACACTCCTGTTTGTCCATAGGGCAACTACAGTATTGGTCAACACACTAGCATGCTCTCATGGAAATATGTTTAACATCTGATCAACACAATTGCTGCATTCGTGCTTTTGCCTCATTCTATCTTACTTGAGTTCTTAATTTATACACATTGAGGTGCTTGCTTAAAGCAGTAAAAAAGGGTAGAAAGGTATACCACCTGGTACTTTCCATAGGTTTTTTCTACTTTGCACACATGTTACAAATCTCTTATCAAAACCTGTATTACATAATCATATCTAATTCAGTATGCACAATAAAGAATAATGTTTCCAAAAGAAGATGTAGATTTTAACAAAATCTACATTTTATGCTAGGTACCAATTTTTGGTCTGACTGGTAATTTTTCAGAAGAAAAATATATAAAACAGGAAATACTGAAAAAAGGCAGAGTTACAGCAAGAGTAGTGTGTATATTAAGCTGACTTACTGTTTTTGAATGAAAAATGTCTTGCCATCATCTTTAATAGGATGTTCGTGGGGCAATTCCAGTCCTCCAAGCTCTGCCCAGTTGCTGGGGAGGACCTTCTGTATGACTGTTGCCTTTCCTGTGATTGCTGATGGGTCAAAATCCTCACATTGGTCAACCACAAACAACTCCATTGGATCTGAAGTCTCTCCAAGAACTGTGTCAGAGCCTCGACTACAGAAATTTCAAACTACTGAATATCATACATGTAATATTATAATTGGTGGCTTTGCATGCTATACCATTGTTTTACAGTTCCAAATTTGTACTATTATGTTCCTTGTTTTGCAGTTGAAAATTTGTACCACTAAGTTCCAAGCATAAAAATTATGATTCAGATATTTGCTGGAAAATGAAAAGAACATTTGGCAAGTGCCTCTTGTAAGTTACAATTGTGCTGCCAGTATTCATGTGTCTGAAGGAGTGGCAATCTATCCAAAGACCTGAGAGAGAAAGACATTAACATTAACATCCATATCCTAATAAAACATTAATCAGACATACAGTACAATGATACCGATGTTCTTATTTAACCCAGAGAAATAGCTGAAGGTTGCTCATTGTCACTGTAGCTTTCCTTGTGTTCTTGACCAACATGACTATTGGCTTCTGAAGTATTCTGTTAGTTCACACATGTTAGAACAGATCAGAACTTTATTCAATGTAAAGTTTTAATGAATGCATTATGTTTAGTTAAACGATCTTTGTTTACCATAAGCACATACCAGAACCAATGGCCATGAACACGCTTCGCACCAGTCTTGTCTTCAAACAGATACACAACTCGGGCAATGAAGAGTGCCGTGGCAGGGTCCAGAGGTTCAACCATTATGCAGTCATTAAGCTTAATTTCCTCAGCATTTACCATAACAGCACTGGTAACAAGAATAAAAATCACAATTTACATCAAAGTATAAAAATACCTATATTATGGTTCTGAAAGATGAAAGAAGGTATTTTTCATAAATATTTTATAACTATATTTACTGGTAGTTGGTTGAGGCACTACGCTACAAGCCAGAAGGTCACAGGTTTGACACCTGATGAGGCGGATTTTTTTTTTCTTTCAATTTATCTAATTCTCCCTGCCACACTATGGTTCCTGGAGTTGACTCAGCCTCTAATAGAAATGAGTACCAGGAATGTTCCTGGGGGGTAAAGGGCGGCTGGCATGTAAGGCTGAAAATCTTACTGCCATCTTTGAGCCAACTGTCTAAAGAAAATGTGGGAGCCTTGATGCCTCACAACCCTTTGGATCTTCACGGTCTGTTACAGTACCTTTTCACTGGCAAATACAGCACATCTAATGCATGAAAGCAGCTGCTGAAATCAACTGAAAATTTAATATTAATACTCTTCTGTTGTTATGGACCTTCTCACAAAACTCCGATATAAAAAAATGCAAAGCAGAAATACTGAAGAATGGTCCTAAATACAGCATAAATCTGGCGTAATAACTTAGCCTACTATAGCTAGCACTATGTGACTCTTTCCTGTGCCATACAGATGATTCTCACTACCACGTTCATATTTAAAATAATTATATTCAGAATTATTCAACTTGCAGACCATGACAGTAAATTATAGAATAATTATTAACACCATCCAGTGTGATTCAATTTCTAGATATTTATTGCCTTTACATGCTTGGGTCAGTTGGCCATCTTCAGAAGGAATAAGATCAACGTGTTCATATATGTATTATGAACTTTGTAACAGTACTTCCTGAACGTGTCAATCTTATGCCTTCTGAAGATGGTCAGCTGATTGAAACATATCAAGGCAATAAATATCTACAAATTGAATCACACTGGAGAGTGTTAATAATTATTCTATATTTTAGTTTACTAGTGTAACAGACCAGAATGAACAAGTTAAGTTGCATGACACTATTTCTTCCGTGTTTCATATTTGACAATGTGAATCTCACAGTTTATGTATAACTGAATTCATACCCCATAAACTCCTGCATTTTCACCAGTCACAATAAGGTAACAGCAAATGTTCAATGTTCGATTATTTATTGGGTTATACTTGCAGTTTTAAAAATAGCTTACAATAACATCACATACTTAAAAAAAATAGTTTGTTAACACACTGTTACAGTAGATTCTAATGAATACTGATGAAGGTATATAATTTACATTTCATGCATCCTGTTGTGTTATAATAGAAAACTTCTTTATTAAAACTGTCACAATACAACTATATCGAAAATTATAACTGCTAGTCAAGCAAGTTGCATATATAAATACATGAACTAGATATAGTTGTGTTGTGACGGTCTTAATAAAGAAGTTGAAGGTATATAACACTTGGAATTACTAGGTTTTTGGACTTTGTCCATTGTCTGATATTCCAAAAAAACACTGAAGAACACAACGTTTAGGGAACTGGATCTATTTCCATCCTCAGGTGGGTGGGGAGACACCCATTCTGTTGCCAGAGCAGGTATCTCCCCCACTCACCTGTGAACAGAAACAGATCCAGTTTCTGAACTGCTGTGTTCTCTAGCATTTTTTAGAATACTGAACGATGGACAAAGTCCAAAAACACAACAACTTAACACTGTTATAGTACTCACTTGTAGTATTTCCGTTTCCCATCATCCTTAATGGGATTTCCAATCCATCTGATATCACGCTTCTCACGAACACAGATACCCTTATGGCTGCTAGAAAACAGTATTTCTGACCTAGCACTCTCTGATAATAGATAATAATCCTCATCATCCTCTGGCTCAGAGTCATCTGCCTCCTGGATGGCCATATTAGGGCACCTGACAACAGCAACACAAGTCTGTGACAATATTTTTAGAATTGCAAGCATCTATATTTAGAGCTCAATAACTCCAGGATATGAGCCTTCCACAGCATCTAAAATTTTCAATGCAACATCTATAACTTTCTAAAAAAAAATTAAATTTGCACTTCAGTTCTGATTCCATCATACAGACTGTAACTTCAGATAATGGAACCACCTCGTCAAAAAAAAAAAAAAAAAAAAAAAAAAAAAAAAAAAAAAAAAAAACTAAAAAAAAACTCGTGTTCTGTGTCATCTGAGGACGGTACAGAACACAGACTGACACATTCAGTGACTTGAAACAGATTACAGCAAATCTGAATGTGCATTTCAGAAGTTCTCTAGCGCCAAACATGTCTGAACAATGCTTTATATGTCCTTGAACCATAGCCTCTTAATTTTATTTATTTCACACTCAAATAAATTGAATATGGTGGGGCAAAGAAACCTGATGATTTTCAAAAGTATATAAAGCAGTGAAATTCTATTTCAATTTCTAATTTATTGTTACAAAATGAATGAACATCAGATGCCACTTTATTCCACATACATTTCATTATGTCTCTGTTTATTTTGTTTTGAAAAGTATATCACTAAGATGCTGCAATCACTGCATACATACTCTTCCAACCTTGCTCGCAGGTTTCTCAGTGCTTGCCTTGCCATGTTTTCTGGCATCACTGAAATTTGTTTCTAATTGTGATCTTGAGGTCATTGATGGCCAGTGATCTAGTGGTGTACACTTTCGCTTTGAGGTATCTCCAAAGCATATAATCAGAGGAAGAGAGATCAGGTGAATGTGCAGGCCATGGAAGCTTGTCACGCAGTGAAATAATGTGCTCTGGAAACATTTCCCAAATGACCTCTATGGACATTCTCGCCTTATGGGCAGTTGCACTATCATGCTGGAACCATATGGTCAAGAACTCAATTCCATGACTCAGTTATTGTGTGATGAGGAAGTTTCATAACGTTTCAACATAATGAACAGATGCGACTGTAACTGCACGTTCATCTTTGTCTTTAAAGAAATAAGGGTCTATGACTCTGAAATTTGCTGCTTCACAACAGTCACATGTGCACTGTGATGAGGCCATTCATGGAGCTGCTGCCAACATAATGCATTTTACAAAATGTCTGGTTCCTTTGCCGCACCCTGTACTACCCTATAGAAATAGCTTTTTGAAGATATAATTTTAATCGTGTGAAATTATTTGAGATGTTCATTTCAAAACCAATAAATAAAAACAATATACATCCAATATTTCTTTCCATTTCTATCCTGGCTCTTAAATCTGGAGATGGCATACAGAGCAACACAAACTTCTTAAGGTTGCATACATATTCAAATATGACATGTATATTGATCCTGCTTGGCAAGGGAAAAGGATTTACTTCTGTGGTGATGTCATTATTCTGTTTATAACAACATGATGAATACAATGAGCACTGATAGACAGACCATGGAGGTGAACACCTGGTATTACTTATATTCACAAGGTTTCAGCTTCCTCAGCAGATGGAAAAGACAGGTGATAAAATCTGCAAGGGCAGTATACTGACTTACAGAGACCACAAAAAGTCAGAATTATATTTTCTAAGATAACACATCATCAATACACAATGACAATAGAATAAATTAATATATACATACACATACACACACACACACATACGACGGGGTACCCAAAAGAAACTGAACTAATATTTTTGTGGGCAGAGCTTTTGTAGTTCCGCATTTTGCCGCTATGAGCGCATAGAGCTAACATTCCTGAGTCGATAAGCCAACTACCGTTGCTTCAGAAGGTAAGGACCAGTTTCGGCAGAGTTTATAGTGACAACTGTTTTGCGTGATCGTCGTTTTTGCAATCGCTGATTTTTGTGAACAGCGCGCAGCGGTGAAATTCTGCTTGTTGCTTGGAAAAAGTGGAACAGAAACTCTTGAAATGTTAAAAATGGCGTACAAGGACGATGCTATGGGGAAAACTCAAGTGTTTGAGTGGTTTTCCCGTTTCAAAAATGGTGAAATGTCAATTGATGACAAACCTCGTTCTGGTTGTCCTTCCACGGCCCGAACACATGAAAATGTTGAAAAAATTCGTGAAATCATCAAGGAAGATCGATGACGGACCATTGAAGAAATTGTGGAGCTGTCGGGAGTGACTTGGAGCTCAGTTCAGCGAATTTTGACAGAAGATTTGGGAATGAAAAGGGTGGCTGCGAAATTCGTGCCACGACTGCTGACTGCTGAACAAAAACAAGGTCGCGTGGAAGCATGCTGTGCTTTGAAAGAAGAGTCCCGAAATGATCAAAACTTTTTTTTGTTTCCTCGAATGAAAAGAGACATGAAAGGAAAGCATTTTCCTGATGTTGCTGAGGTGAAGGAAAAAACGACAGAGGCGCTGTCAAGCATCTCAGAAGATGAATTTAGACAATGTTTTGAAAAATGGAATAAAAGACTAGACAAGTGTATTAGTGTAAGTGGAGAGTACTTTGAAGGGGATTGAAGGTTTGTGCTTAAAATTAGAATAAATAAGTTTAAAAAAAATAAGTTCGGTTTCTTTTGGGTACCCCCTCGTATGTAACTTCAAGTTGAATCTAGGAGAAAACACTGCCATTCGTTTGTTTACATAACCACTGCAAAAGGAATGTGTTTGCCAAGCCATTGCCTAGTAATGGACACCTCCGTGACACTTCTCTGGCTTTCACGCATCATGCCACAGCAGTATGTCAAACTGTGACTGAAAAGGATGTATCTCTGCTGTTTATGATGAACTAGACAATCACAGTGCTGCCTACTCAAGGTCTAGAGGGGTTAGGAATTTTTTTTATCAAGTATCTTTTTTTAAAGAAGATTTTGTCAAAAACAGTTCCTCCACATAGCAGCACCATTTAGTGCATATTACTTTTCTATCAAGTTCAGAATCTTAGTGTAGATCCAGATAGTTGTCTTTACAGAAGTTTTAAAGTTGGTGGGTTTAGGTATTTTAATTATTTTTAACAATGAAGAAAGCAGTCTTCTGGGATTTGGCACCATGTATATGTGGTGTTAACCGACGTTTCTTCTACCCTGAAGCTGGAGGCGATACGTTCCTCCGAAACGTCGGTTAACACCACATATACACGGTGCCAAATCCCAGAAGACTGCTTTCTTCATAGTCACCGCCATGAAAGCCTCAAATCTTACATAGTGTTCCTATATGGGGAGGCTACTCAACGACACATCTGACGACTCGAGACGCTACGAACCAAGAAGACTAAACTACTCTGTACCCTTCCCTTCCTTCTTAGATGCAGAGACCAAAACACCATCCCTCGTTTCAGTCTGCTTTTACCGGTTCTCACGGTCTCTTTGCTTGCAGATTTCTTATATTTTTTCTTCTACCCTGAAGATTGAGGCGATACGTTCCTCCGAAACGTCGGTTAACACCACATATACATGGTGCCAAATCCCAGAAGACTGCTTTCTTCATAGTCACCACCGTGAAAGCCTCAAATCTTACATATTTTTAACAAATTTACCATTAAAATTTTAGAGGTTTCTATGCTAATGCAGCTAAACTATTCATACTGAAGGACACTTTTTATTACCTGCGTTGAACACAACACTGTTTGTTGCGTCCCACACCTCCAAATTTGACCATGTCCTGACATGACACACAGGTCCCACAGTCTGGCAGCTGGCATGCCTCACAAATACCACACCTGCGACGTCGAGGTCCCTACATACACCATTTAAGATAAATAACTATCAGACATCCAGAAGAGATTACCAATCATTTGCAAATTTGCACCATCAAAAATCGGCTGATTTCAAAACAGCTAAATTAAAAACTTATTAAAGAATGTAAAATTCTGTATTATGAGACTATGAATATGTTTACAATACATGTGTGAAACATTTTGTGCCATCAGAACAATTTAAATATAATTTAATAATGCAGCAAATACTGTTTGCTGCTTTTATAACTGCAATTCAAGAAGAGCTTTGACTAATAAATAAAGAGTTATCAATATGATTGATCAAGAACTGTTTAACCTTTAACATCTGAATGACACATATATAGGTAGCAAGCAGCAACCGGAGTTGGCTGAATGGCCTGTATATGTGACGCAGGACACACGGTCTCTTTGGGAGTGCTGACAGTTTGACCTTGGTTTTGAAACCAAACCAAACCTATGTGAGGTCATGTCAGTGGTTCATTCCTTAACTCTGAACAAAGAAATTGTTTATCACGGTACTGGTTTCGATACTATTTATGTTTAGATATGACTGTTTATGACCTGGTCAGCCAAATATAGCCCAGCTTTGTTTCGAGAACTGATGAGGAAATATTTATCGGTGCTTGCATGTGAGCGCTTGCAGAGCCTTCAAGGAAGTCTGACGCATTCAAGGATTGGTTTTCAGTGGCGAATTATCAGTCAGGAAGTCAGTGTCAGACTGTCATATATTTCTTTATATATCATTTTTATTTTGCGTCTTCGAAGAAGTATAAACCCACTGAGCCAGTATTACTTTGTGAGTAAAAAGCATCTTCGCCACTGCGACTTTCAGTATGTGTTGGACTGGCACTCCTTTTGACTAGTATTATAATTACTTTGCATCACTATTTTGCTAATATTACCAGCAGGTGAGAGTGTCGCTTTGTCAATCAACATAATTTATTCAATTTTGCTAGAAACCGCCCTCCCCAAGATGATTCTTCAATCACACAAGCCGAATATCATCGTCAGTGGCGTTTCTCGGGGGAAGGCGAAAGTTATCAGGGGACCAAACTAAGATGACTGGAGGTGAAACATTCACAACACTGGCCAACCAAAGGGAAACAAAGACGTTGTCGTGTGTTTCGCTAAATAAGAAAAGCAGGAGCACGCTCTTCTATTGTAAAAAGTGCAATGTCGCTTTGTGTGACGTGGACTGCTTCGAGAAATGCCACGCACGTCAGAGTGTATCGTTAACTGTGAAGTGACACAGTTCAAACTTGTGTATAGCCTGAACAAAATATTATTGTACAAAGTTTGTTTATATTTACAATATCACCATGATTCAAGGTTGAAGAAAAAACAACAGGTAAGTCCTTTGGAATTTCATAACATATATAATAAAGATTATTATAGGATTCTGACGATGGTGTATAACACACTGATATGTTGGGATTTTGGACTTTATCCATCGTCCTGGTTTTTAAGATAACAAATAAAAACACGACGTTTCGGAAACTGGATCTGTTTCCGTCCTCAGGTGAAGGAAAACACCTATTCAGTTGGGTCCCTTAGAAAGAGATAGCCTCAATCACTGGACAAACCAATGTCACAAAACATGAAACAAATTCATGACAAAATAATCACAGTTAATTTTCCTTTGTAAAAATTGCTCCTTTGTGTATATGTAGAAAATTTTATTGTCTTTCGGGTTGTTTTTAGTTTGTATTTCTATGTTGCATAGAACAGAAAATATGGATTTTTTTCTGAAAGTTTGCAATGTTAATTAATTAGGGTGATTTAAATATTGGCTGCAGAGGGCTGCGGGCAATTTAAAAGTCCGTACGTTAAAGGTTAAAATCAATGTACGAAATATTTCAGCTTCAGACTCTACCAATATTGTAAATGCATGAACTTGGATGCTAGATTTTAGGTCTCATTCAAATCCTGGTTGCTTGTTAAATGTACTCTGATTACTTCTCCTACACCAAAAGACGTGTCAGTAAAATCTAAGTTTAATCATGATTATAATACTAACATAATATTTTTTCACATAAGACACTGCGTATCAAATCAGCGCAGTCCACAACCTGACTTCTATGATTTAAATGAAAGCTGGTAAGCTTGTAGGCTCCATGGTAAATAGTATTCTTGCAAACTTCTGACTGAAAGCCAATGAACTGTACCTTTCACAGACATACAACACAAATTCAGACAAAGTCATTTTGGTTTTAATTCCATCTGAAGCAAAATCTCACATTAAATTTATTACAGAATGTAATACGTAATGAAATGTAATGTGTGTGTATGGTTCATATTATTGCAATGTAACAAACAGTAAAATGTCACCATGGACCAGATACAAAATCTCTGGCAATGAAATTATGACACTGCACACTCTCAGGCCTTCTTCACAGAATGTATTGCGCAACATGCTGCATGCAAGCTGTTTTCAGTTTTCAACACGCGATTTATGTCTCTGCCCTTGAAGCAGTGTCATGTGCCATTGTTTGTGATACAGAAATATTTTGCACATTAATTGGGCAAATCTTTGTGCTTCTGTTTCTGTACCACTAGTCTTCCATCACAGAAAACTAACTGTGCATTTTTTGTTATTCAGAATGGTGAACAATGCTGAAGAAGTTGGTCCATCCTGTCTTTGTAATTTGCTCTTCCATATGCTACTGCAGAAATTCATGTATATTTGAGCCTAGGCTTTTCCGTTTTCTAGCCATAATAATGAAACATTTTTCAAAACACACGCTGCACAACAGAACATTTTCGACTCCCATTCAATGGCCATGCAACACAATATAAAATAAAACAAGCTACTGGCCCAAAGAGAAGCTCAGATAATGTAATATGATGGGTATTTCACATTAGTTAAAATTTGGTGGGATTCAACCTCAAAATCATCAAGTGGTGAGTCTTAAAAATATCATTTCCTACAGCGACTACAACACATTTTTAGTCAGCTAATAAGTTTCACATATGTAACAGAAGGGCTCTGTGCATTTGCATCAACACTTCTGGCTCAAGATCAAATAAATTCTCTATTCAGTCAGACGGCACTGATTCCAAAATGTGGCCTCCCTAAGCAAAGATGAGGCTCAGAGGATTAATTACTATACCTTTACTGGTTGCTTGCTACAAACAGTCTGAGAAGCAAAGCTACAAGTTTACTTGGTGCAAAATGCAAAGAAAAAGTCACAGCTATGATAACTGGCCTTTCAAACGGCTTGTTTCATAATTTTACAATAAAGCATGGCTGAGATACTGAATTTTAAAGAATTTAAAACTTCTAAAATTAAGTGGCTGCAGTTAACAGATTTAAATGTTATTCGATTTTTAATATTCCATTGCAAAAGAGATAACCTGAAACATAGATGTACTTAACTGGTTTACAATCATCTTTTACTGAGCTCTTTTGTGGCTGTTATTTTAACCACTCTGTGCATACCTTGTTCTCCTTGTCTTCATCTTTGTCAAGCTGCTCACGGAAGAATGTCTCAAAAACTTCCTTCACAAGTGGAGTGGTTGTAGCTCGGCTCCACTTAGTCTTCTTAATTTTGAAATCTTTCCTTTCTGCTCGGTGCATAGCAATTCTGAATGGTTACAACATATAATTCCACCAATGAACAAGGTAACAAAATGAGAATTTATGTGAGCTTCTTTCTCATACTGACATAAAATCTGAAAATATGAGCATTCTGTGATGATCTGATAGAACAACCAAACCACAGGCTAGCTTGCCAGTATATGGGCAGCCAATACTGTTCAACTTCAGAAGATAATATTACATTTAAGCATACTGTTGCACTTTATACAATATATGATGTAACTCCGTCCTAAGTGCAAACTATATTTGTAGGTCTTTCGTTTTGTTCTTCTTTATACACTACATGTTTCGGCCCCAAACAGCCATCAACAGGTGTATACACTCACATATCTGTTACACTGCACTTATTTATAACATTTAAAATTTAAAAACATAGGTCTTCCTGATTAGCACTTATAAAATCTTCGGTTCTAATTTTAAATCCTTCAAAAATTTTTCTCTAAATACTTTAGTGTGGAAATTGTTAACCAGTAAGAATACAACAACTTAATATCATTTGAACTTTTCTGACCACTAAACATTAAATGAAGGTAAATACAGAACAAATATGAGACAAATCTTGAACACAGCTCATTTACTGTGCTTGCTTACCATGTGAAAAAGGATTCTCAGCACTCCCTCCACAGAGAGACAATATTTCAAGATGAAGAAATTTTTGGATTTTCTGGGCAGATACTGAGGTATTAATCCAGGGGTGTCCAACCTAGAGCCTGCAGGCTGAATGCAGCCCATTGCAGCTCTTCATGTGGCCCCTATTAATGTATCAGTAACAACTAGAACTGTTCCTAGGTTATGGCAAATTGGGATAAATGCTGCAAGCCCCAAAATCTGGTATCACAGTATTTCTTTAATTTTCTGGTTTCAATCAATTTAATTTTGTTAAGCAGTGAATTTATCATTTCGCAGGATTGTGGTGTCAGCAATATGCACTAAAACAGGTGGCTAAGACCTCTTAATGTTTTAGTCAGCCTTCAATTATGTCAAAGGAGTGACTACTCATAAAAGTGAACAAATATTATTCCCTCTTCAATATGTGCCACCTAATTTGCTGTGAGAACATCAAAATCAACAGACTGACTGTACTTCATTTTGACATTAATCATCAAAGATTCTGTCTGAACACATATGGGTTCAACATTCTTTAAAAATTTGAGTTGTAATGTATCTTTTAAGTATCAATTAGCCCACATCAAGATGTTCATGTTGTGTTTATTACATAACTAAGTCTGAGACTCTGATAACCTATCATGCCAACTGCAGATGTCTAAGATTTTTATTTTTGTTTCAGGCAGAATTGCAACAGTTCCTTGTCAGGCAAAATATTATTTGGAAATCCCATATGAGGTCTGCTCTTTGTTCTAAGTATAAGTAGTGACTATGGTTTTCCAATATTAATTGCTTTGAGTTATCTACAGTTAATCGAAACTGAGCTAAATTAAACAAAACCACCATACACAATGTTTCTATCAGAAAAGCGTAAATTGGGCTCTAATTGTAGAATTTTTCAAGCAGCAGGCAAACAAATGTTTCTGTTTTTCTGTGAATGAGAAAGCTATGTTTGATTTGTAGTGCAAGTATTGCTGTTCTGAAAGAATATATCACTGCTGGGCATTATGACACTTATGGAGCTGAGCCCTTCTTCAGAAGCTGTTAATTGTGCAGGTACTCAAGAATTTCCCAGCATTTTATGGAACCCAAAGGTTCATTACCATGTTCATTAGAGCCCTCCACTGGTCACTATCCTGAGCCAAATCAATCCAATCCATACCATCCCATCCCATCTCTCTACGATCCTTTCCCACCAATATTCTATATTCTATATGCATTCTTCCTCTCTCCCATTCATGCTACATGTCCTGCCCACCTCACCCTCCTTGACTTGATCATTCTAATTATTCTTCGAGAAGAGTACAAGTTATGAAGCTCATTATGCAGTTTTCTCCAACCTCCTGTCATTTCATCTCTCTTCAGTCCAAATATTCCCATAAGCATGAGTTCTCAAACACTCTCAATCTATGTTCCTCCCTTAAAGTCAGAGACCAAGTTTCACACCCATACAGAACCATAGGCAAAATTATACTCTTAATTTTTATGTTTTTAGACAGCAGACAAGAAGACAATAGGTTCTGAACTGAATGGTAGCAAGCATTACCAGAGTTCAATCTCCTCTTACTTTCCTCCTGAATCAGGTTTTGATTTGTTATAGTCATTCCCAAATATATGACTTGTACCACATTTTTAAAACATCTATTACCTATCTCTATGTCATGATTTTGCTCTGCATTTTGGTGAAGAGATAACAACATACACTTAGTTTTCTCAGTGTTTACATCTAGACCAACCTATTTACTTACATCAATTAAAGTTTGTGTTTTTCTTTATGGTATCTAAATTAACACCCAGGAGATTCCCATCATCAGCACAGAACAACGGCTGATGTGTCCCATTCAATTTCAGTTCCCCCTAGTTTCCCGGGACCTCTCTAATGGCATATTCTAAAGCAGAGTTGATAAGCAGTGGCAATACAGCATCTCCTTGTTTTAGACCATTCTGGATAGGAAATTTATCAGACAAATGTTTACCTACATGGACTTTACCATACTTTTCGTTTAAACACATTTTAATAAACCTAACTAGTTTCATGGGTATCCCAAACTCTATCAGAATATTGTACAACACATCCCTCCTAACTGAATTGTAGGCTTTCTAGAAGTCTATGAATAGCTGATGTACTGTCTCATTGTACTCCCATTTTTCTCCAATATCTGATGAATGCAAAAGATCTGATTTGTAGTTGATCTGTTACGTCGAAACCCACACTGATGATCCCCAATAATTTCATCTATATATGGACTTAACATTGAAAGAAGAATATTGGACAAAATTTTATATGAAGTTGATAGCAGTGATATCCCCGATAATTACTAGTCAGTTTTTTCACCCTTCTTGTGAACTGGTACAATAATAGACTCCTTCCGCTGATCAGGCAATTTTTCCTTATGCCACATAGAAGTAATTAGATTGTGGATCTTAGAACATAATATTTCGCCTCCTGCTTGAATAAGTTCTGCCAGAATTTGATCACTACCTGGCGATTTATACCGTTTCAATTTTACAATAGCAATTTCAACCTCAAGGGGGCTAGGATCAAGTACTAACAGCTCAGCTGTACGTACTTCTATCTGCCTAACATCACTAATTCTATGAACATTCAATAACTGAGAGAAGTAGTTCTTCCACTTATTCAAAATGTTGTGGGAATGTGCAAGCAGATCACCATTCTCATCCTTCACTAAGTTACTTCTAGGTTGGTAACCCCTCTTAAAGTCATTTATTCCTGTATACAGGTCTCTTTTGTTCTTCTTGTGACTGTTTGTTGCATTTTAATTCAAAGTACAGACATAAGTACAAAAACTGCTGGTGCTCGGAAAAGTGAAAGAGCTATACGGGGCCTTGAGTCACACCAGGATATCTTCAGAAAACAATCCAACATTTGTTCCTCTGCACTGTGGGAAAGTTGTCTTGCTGCTTGATTGCTGACCAAAAGAAAGCAAACACTTTTCCAATCGGGAATTTGTAAGAAAATGTTTGCAACACATAGTGCAAGAAGAGATCTGCCCAGAAAAGAAACTGCTTTTAATACTTGAAGTCCGTCTTGCCCAATAATGACATGATGCCCTGAAGATATTAGTATATTTAACAAGTTACATCAGCTAATTCAATAAATGAATAACAACTTTCCATGCTGGATGAGCACGTAATGTGCTTTCCCATGTTTAGATTGCTTCAGACTACATTACAATACAAAGTAAGACTGTCAGATACTGTGACCATCAATCCAAAGTTTGACATGAAATGGATCTCTACAATCACCGTGTGACATAAACAAAATACTCTTGGAACATCCTTTCAAAATGTGATAACAGGAGCTGACATTTTCTAATAAAACTTCTCAAGGTGGGTCCCTGGAGTACATATTCATATAAGCTTTTTTACTTATTTTGATGTTCAGAAACCATTCTGTAAAATATGGCACATAATACTGAGACATCCTGTATATGTTTTGGTGACACAAAGCCAATAAAAACTTATCACTAGGGCTCGGATTTCTATGACATGTCATATTTTTATCCTGGCATCTTTTCACATGTATAATTAAATATAAATGCATTTCTGACTCTTGTGAACATGAAAATACGGTTTTTATTGGTCATATAAATGCATATTTGAACCATATTTTAGCTTTAGGTCATATTTGGGCCCGAAGTGATATAAAATCATATTTTTGGTCATATTTTAGGCGAGTTTCACTTACTGCTCAGAAATATATTTGCAAGTATTGGCAATGATGTTATTTGGAACTTCATTTCTTAGAAATATTTGGCCTTGTGTAATGGGATTTGAAGGAATACTGTACAGTGTGAAGGGTAACGGTTCTTGACCTGGTGTAGAATCAACCACTTTGAAAAGAGAAATTGCCACCTCTGCCTCTGTATGTCTGTCTGTCTGTGTCTCTTTTTCTCCTCCACTGCAGTGATGCAGTGATACCTGAAGTCCAGTTTGTTTCTTGCATATTGGTGAAAAATTTTTCCATCCACAAAGCGGTAAATTTCTACCCTCTCCCCGAAACCCGTCCAATACAGTACTGTATTCATAACTTCAGTTGTTCAGTATAGTTTCAAGATGCCTAAAGTCAAAGCTCTAATAGCGTGAAGTTGCGTGGTTTTATTAAAGAGTTTGGTGACAAATATTTTAGTACTGACGGAGACATTTTATTTTGCAAAATGTGTGAAGTGAAAGTTACGGCAGACAAACGTTTTATGGTGCAACAATACTGCAGTACAGCTAAACATAGAAGCTGTGTAAATAGAGATATTACCATGGAAAGTAGACAGCGATTGTTGTTTGAAAAGTCATCCTCCAGTTCACCGAAATCAGGAAATGCCTCCGAGTTTTCAAAAGATCTTTGTACTATGATGGTTTCATCAAATATTCCATTACATAAAGTAGATACA